CCAGAGAGGGCAGTTCAGTGGCTTCTTACATGATAAAGGTTTTCCTTCAGTCCATATGATTCTCTGATGCTTGCTGGCATGTTTTGCAGACACTGAAATTTGCATTGCCAGGGCAGAAGCACCTGAGTCCTTGCCAAACACCAGCCTCTAGACCCCGGTGCCTCTGAACTCCGGTGCAGATCTATCAAGTCACTCTCTGGCCGAGACGACCAGGAGTCTGCATTTCCAACAACCCTGGAGTCTTAGTCTACCTAAAACTCAAGGCTGCTGACATGGTGGTGGTACAGTATGTCTTCTGCATGACACCCAGAAGCCTTCTCTCTAATGGAATTCTCTGATGGTTTAAATCCCTTAGGAAAATCCCCCACAGCAGGACCATACTTCTGTATCCATTGTTCTTGAGAACACTCTGAACTCCATTATCCTGGAAGAGCCTGGTGCTGGCTGAATGGTTTTGTGTCCACAGTGTTATGTAACATTTTCTCTGGGACGTGGTTCCGTGCAGGAAAGCTCCTCTGAGCGCTGTTGCTGCTGTGTTCAGGGCTGTGAAGTACTGGTAGGCTGCCTGTGGAGATGGCCATGTAGCAGAAACCTCACCCCTCAGAAAGAATCTCACAGATGAAGGTGTAACCCAGCACCCTCTGCAAAGAGGATTTGGAGAGGAAGTCCGGCATTGCCTCTGCCACCTCCCTCCTGTCCTGGTGTGGTTTTTTACTGTTTTATCCCTAGGGGGTCCACCACCCAGCTACAAATAAACACACAGAGGCCTATTCTTACTTATAAGTGCCTGGCCTTAGCTCGGCTTATTTCTTGCCAGCTTTTCTTAAATTATCCCATCTACCTTTGTCTCTGGGCTTTTGTCTTTCTCTATTCTATATACCTTTCTTTACTTCTTGCTTTGTGGCTGGCTGGGTAGCTGGGTGACTGGGTAGCTGGTCCCTGATGTCCTCCTCTTCTTGGTTTCTTGTTCTTTCATCATCTCTTCCCAGAGTCCTCCTCCTGTTTATTTTCCCTGCCTGCTAGCCCCGCCTATTCTTTCTCCTGCCTTTCTATTGGTTATTCAGCTCCTTATCGGACCAATCAGGAGTTTTAGACAGGCAAAGCAACACAGCTTTTTTTTGTTTGTATTTAAACAAATACAACATAAAAGAATGCAACACATCTTCGCATAGTTAAACAAATGTTCCACAACATAAACGAATGTAACACAACTTCAACTAATATTCCACAACCCCCTGGCCTCCAAGCTGTTGGGTTAAGCTGAAGTGTGGTAGGAGATTAAAGCATGGGAGTTTGAGCTTTGAAGAAAAATCCAAGGCCTGTCCTTGGCACTTATTTCTCGTCCTTGGCACTTATTTCTCTTCCTTTGAGCTTCGCTTTCCTCTTTCCTAGAGCAGTGGAGGTTGTCTTCATTACTGTTCTATTACTGTGAAGAGACACCATGACCAAGGCAACCTATAGGAGGAAGTGTTTAATTGAGAGTTGGCTTCCAGTTTCAGAGGATTGGTACATTATCATCATGGCAGGGAGCATGGCAGCAGGAAGGCAAGCATGGTGCTGAAGCGGTAGCTGAGAGCTCACACCTAGTATAACAGTTATAGCCAGAAAGAGAGAGGGAGACTGGGCTTTCCAAGGCTTTTGAAACCCAAAGTCCACCCCCCCCCATGACACACCTCCTCCAGCAAGGTCATACCTCCTAATCCTTCCCAAACAGTTCCTCTGCCTGGGACCAGCATTCAAACAGATGAGCCTTTGGGAGTCGTCCTCATTCAAACCACCTGCGCAGCACAAGGTGACTGCTTAGCTTCAAGGACTGGTCTTGTTCATTTACTGCAAGCGGAGTTTTCTCTCTGGGAAGCAGAAAGCATTGTGTCTGCATGTTCTCCGTCATCTTCTCCCTTAGCTCCTCCTTCTCCTCTGTCTAGTTGGATTATAGTGACCCATGTCTGTTCAGTAATCAGTCTTTGAGGTCTGGGAGGGGGTAGCTCAGTGGGAGGGCACTTGCCTAGCATGTCCAGGTGCCCTGAGTTTAATCCCCAATGAGGAGACAGGGTACTTAGAAGTCAAGGCTTTGCGTGTGTGATCCTGTCAAAGACCAGAGAGGAAACAAACTGCCTTGCAAAGCTTGGTACTAAAGCCGCTGTGATAACCTCAGAGAATTCCCTCAGAACCTAGTTGTTCCTATAGAAAGGGTAACCAAGCGCATGCAGGGCAATAAATATAAGTACGGCTTCTGGAGAAGCCAGACTGATCCTGCCCCTGGGCACTTGCCTGGGGATTAGAAACACCTGGGAATCCCAAAATATTTTCAAGGGGACCACAAAATCAAAGCTACTTTTTTGTTGCCTTTTTGTTGTTTATAGGGATCTCACTGTGATTTCAAGCTAGTCTCTAGCTCCTTGGTCTCAAGCTACCCCCTTGCCTCAGGCTCCCCGATGCTGGAACTTCAAGGGTGCACTGCCAAACCTGGCTCAAAAGTATTTCAACATAGCACTAACATACAGTGTACCTTCCTCGTGCTCCTTCTGCACAAGAGCAGGTACAGTGTCTAGGGGTCTAGGGGCACACGTAAAGATGGCAGCTCTGAAGGCTGCTGGGATGCATGTGTATCTTTGTGGTGGACCAGCCTCTTGGTCTAATTGTCATGCAGCACTGATAGGCACAACCCACTGCAAATGGGAGCTTCTTGGGACCTGAAGAATTTCTAAAAGTATAAAAGAATTTTGGGATAAAAAAAATATCAGAATGCCTGGTATAAGGCTGTTCTGCCCTAGGGTGCTGACAGGGCAGGGGAACAAGGCTACACTGTTGTGTTTACACACTATGAGCATATCCCTGTGAGTGGTTATGTATGGATGTGAATATCAGCTCACGTGTGTGAGTATACAGACAGATAGACAGACACAAAGAGAAAAGAGAAAGCCTGCTGGGACAATATCCTCTTTATTTTCTCTAACCCCCAGAGCAACCAGCTTGCCATATATGTCCTACAAATATTTTGAGATCTTAACTGAAATCCATGCATCCCTGAGGTCCAGCGAGGTCCATGAGTCCTTTGGAAAAGATTGCCTTCCAGGTAGTAGAAGTTTCGCTGCAGTAAAACTTTAAATGGTTCCTGCTCTAAAGACAGGAGCTCCTACCCCATCCAGACCCTTCCCTCTGGGGCACTGGGGACTCAGGTCCTGGGGACAGCAGGTCTCCTTCTCTGCAACCTTGGGAGTCCACAGCTGGGAAGCAGTGAGCTCCACTCCTTTGAAGCTGTGCAGGGCATCCTGGGAAATGGGTCCTCCCATCAGACCACTCACAGCCTGTGGGGGTGAGTTAGGAAGTGCTCCAAAGGTAGCTCCAGCATTGCCAGTGGCTGGAATGCTCTGAGGCAGTCGTCCCATCTGGATTGTCAACCTTGATTTATTTGTTCCATCTTTAGGTTAATGCCTACGTGCCACAGAGAGATGGCATCACTGCCTGTCCTCAACAGTGCCACTGTGCAAGAGATGTCTCTTTGAAACAAAGGCCAGCAAGAAGCACTCTGTGGAGCAGGCTGCAGCCTAGACTCTTAGGAAGTGAGGCACCTAGGTTGGCCCGCACTTGGGAAGCCAACATGAGTGGGCTGCATTCAGGGGCAGCAAGAATGCCTGAGGCGTGCTGTAAAAACCCCTCGCAGTCCCCTGTGAGGTGTGTTAAGGTTTGCCCGATTAGAGAGGAAGAAACCGAATCACTGGGAAGTTAAGTAGCCTGTAGAAAGCCCCACAACCCCAGACTGAACCCTAGTCCTCTGGCCCAGGGTCACCGGTGTGATGACCCTCCTAGGATCCGAGCCTCTGCAGAGTCACATCGGCGCCTCCTTGCCCAGTGGATCTGAACTAGAAACTACCGGACCTGAGAGTCCAAGCTCTTCTCGGTGCTTCTCGGTGGCCTCTCTATCTTAGTTCTTTACCTAAAACGTGAGGTGGTCCCGACATCTACCTCAGAATTGTTGGTAGGTTCAAATAAGACGCTTCAAGGCAGTATAGTCCCCTGGCTAAGCAAACGGCGCAAGGAATCGGTGGAGATTCCTCATAGCTATTTGTATTTAACTACTTAGCGTCTTCATTTCATCCTTTATATAACAGGGCCAATAATGATCTGAGGGTCAGATGATAGAAGATAAAGGCTTATTCGCACAGCGCATAATAGCTGTTCGACACAAGTTACCATGTGTCCGTCATAAAGCAGGGATGTGTTACAGCTGTTATGAAGCTGACCATTGTCCCTAAGGCAAAAGAAGTCCTATATGGGACAGAGAAATGCCGATGACATAATGGTCTTGGCATTCTCCCGCCTTTAAAGGACTCTCCGCTCTGAGATCTCGTAATTTGCTGGGGTCTCTGACCTGGGGAACTTGTCAGGAACACAGAATCTCAGCTCCCACCCCAGACCTCCTGCAGAACCAGAATCTGCATTTTGGCAAGAATCCACATGATTCCTGTGCACACTTAGGCTCGAGATGCACCCATGTATGGGAGGAAAGAAGAGCGGTGTTAGTTCGGACTATGGAGTAGGAAGGGTTAATGCTCCGTTTGGCTCTGTCGCAGGAAACAGAAGGTTTTAGAGATTGAAGCATGTGAATGGATGAAGCAGGAAGGCTTCCTTCCTGCCTGTGTTCTGGGCAGCTGGGGACTCTGGCTGAGATACGTTCGGAGCTCTTGTGCCTGCAAAATCAAGCCATCCTGCTCCTGCCCAGGCTGGCCTGGGCTCAGAGGTGCCAACCTGGAGGCCCAGTCAGTCCGCAGACCAAGGCCATCTGAGGTCTAAGGCAGAGTAGGAAGGCTGGAGGAAGGCCACTGGGTTTTGAGCAGGGCCTTCCCCAGAGAGGTTGGGGACGAGCTGTGGAACAGCTGTGTGGAGGGCCCTGTCTGTGTCTCGGTGGTAAACAAGGCACTGTCTTCTGGACCCTGCCGTCCTGGCCTCCAGTGGACAGGAACAAGATCTTAACTCAGGGCTTGACTGTCCCTCCCCAGTACTGGAGCAGCTCATCCCAGAGCTCACTGGACTCCTCAGCCTCCTGGACCATGAGTACCTCAGTGACAGTACCCTGGAGAAGAAGATGGCCGTGGCCTCCATCCTGCAGAACCTGCAGCCCCTCCCAGGTCAGCCCCGAGGAGTCCCACTTAACACAGACCGCAACGGTACCATTCACCCTGGAGCCTGTGTAAGGGATGTCTAAGCCGGTGCCTGGTTGTGACCCAGCCCCCACCCCTCCCCTGTAGTCTCGGTTGTCCTGTGTGTCCTCCTCCATCCCCAGCCCTCCACAGACTCACACGGAGCTTACGTGTTCATATATTTACCACACATGATCGGTTTTCAGCACAACGCTCTCACACATAACACACTGTATACACCACACATTACACAAGATAAGCACTAACATATACCATACATACATACACACAAGCATATGCTTTGGCTGCACTGTAATGTATACGTGTGTGTATGACATGCAGTTGCACATAGACATACACTCCTGTATGCTATCTGACACACGCATCCCCACAGGTTAAACAGTTCCCACAAACTTTGTGCTTGCCCCCTCTAAAAACGTGTATGTGTGCCTCGCTGCCTACCAAGCAGCTTGTCTCAGCCTCTCGGAGATACTTGCAAGTCAGCAGACGGCATACTGTCTCTTCATAACTCACAAACTGTACCCCATCCTTACAAGACTCCAGGAGTCTGAAGGATGAGGTAACTCTGAGCTGGGTAACTCTGAGTCATACTCTCCTCAAACAGAATGTCACCTGTTGCCTCACAAGATCATTGGGGTGGGGGCGGGGAGGCAGGGACAAAGTTCCTCCTCACTGGAGCCCTTTTTCCTCGCCAACCCTGAGCTGGCCTGTAGCAGCTTAGACTTCTGGATACCCTTGTGTGTGGAGGCAGAGATCGCCATCACAGTGGCCGTGCAAAGAACTAGAAAGAGGTGGGGTAGCCTTCTCTCCTCACTGGCGTGTCCTCCTCCCTCAGCGAAAGAAGTCTCCTTCCTGTATGTGAATACTGCAGACCTGCACTCGGGTCCCAGCTTTGTGGAGTCTCTCTTTGAAGAATTTGGTAAGTTCCCTCTCCTGAGCTTGACCAAGAACACGCACACATACACACACACACACACACACACACACACACACACACACGCATGCACGCACATGCACACATACACACCGGGTCCCCCTTGTGCTGCTCTTGACTTTCACCCTGAGCCCGGGTCGCTCTGAGAGCCTCTGTCTGTAGTTGGAGACCTACCCTAAGCTTGCATGAGGGAATGTGCCGGCCAAACAGCACAGCACAGAGAGGTTCCCTTGCAGCCATGGTCACCCATCAGTTGTGGCCCCTGAGCCTGGCTGAGAGGTCCAGCATCTCAGCAGGAAATAGGAACTTGACCAGGGGAGAGTGAGCCTGAGAGCAGCCAGCTTGGCTTGTGGGAGAGAAGGAGCCATGCAGCCATCCTAGTAAGAAAGTGCTGTTTATCTCGGGAGAGATGTATGGTCTAGGAGAGTTTTGAGACAACAGTCCCTGTACGTCAGAGAGACGTAGGAGCCCCATACATATACAGGAGCCCCCCATGCCTCTGTGTCATGTTCTCAAAGACCTCTAAAGCACCCCACAAAAATGTTCTACTGTGACTTCTGTCTGGAAGCCAGGCAAGACAGATTAGCACGGCCGACCTACGGAAGAAGCCCAGGGCACACTCTATTCAGCTGCTTGTGCGGGTTGCTAAGGATGGAGGAAGAATGGCCTGGCTTTACAGGCAGGCCTCCAGACCCCAAGCCTAGCCCTCTTTCTCCTCTGCCACCTTGGTTTTCTCTGTAGACTGTGACCTGGGTGACCTTCGGGATATGTCGGATGATGGGGAGCAACCCAGCAAGGGAGCCAGCCCGGAGCCAACCAAGAGCCCGTCTCCGAGAAGTGTAAGTCCTGACCCTGACTAACAAGGGAATCTGAGTTTTTCACACCTACAAAGTAAAGGATTCGTTCTAGTGTTCCCAGCCTCGGGACTACAGAGTTAGAGACAAGCTTTGCGTGTCACACAGACTCTCAGCATCATCACCGCCATCACAGGTACTAGTTGTTAATTCACTTATACACGCATACAGCAACCAGATGTGCATGGCATGCTTGCTGTCCCCATCTCACAGATAAGGCTCAGGGAGAGGGTTAGGTGATGCACCCAGTGTCCTGCAGCGAGTAAAAGAACATGCTGAGCTGAAAAGCTGAGGCTTCCTGACCCCAGATTTCACTGCTCCCTCAATTATAAGCCTCGTGTTTACTCGTTCTGTTGTTCCTCGTGTGGTGGCAGAGCTCACACCAGTGTTGGAGCACTGTGGGTGCACTCACTCAAAACAGCCACTCGGGGCAATTTGCAAAACTCTTGGACGTTATAAAAGCGCCCCGATGCTTACAGAATTTACAGGAGCAGAACAGCATGAATGGGCTCTCCCGTTGCCAACTCTGAGTCTAGTAGATGTGATGGCTACGCCAGGTACAGCATCCCACGCTGTAATCCCAGCATGCAGAAGGGAGAGGTGGGAACATTGCAGCTCAGGGCCAGCCTGGGCTACATGATGAGACCTCAACATACAAAAACAGCTTAGAGCTTCACGTTCAGACTACATCCTTGGAACCCTGGCCTCCTGGCAACCAGCCTCCCTCCCTCCCTCCCTCCCTCCTTCCCTCCCTCTCTCTTCTCACCTGTTCCCCTCTGCCATGTTCACAGCTGTCTTACTTCACAGGCCTTATTTGTTCCCCTGCAGGCAGCTGTTGTGCCTCCACCACTGCCCAACAAGCCTCCCCCTGAGGATTACTATGAAGAAGCCTTTCCCCTGGGGCCCGGCAAGTCCCCCGAGTACATCAGCTCTCACAGTAAGTTCCGGTCCCCTCGTGGCTTACAGAATTCCCTCCTTGAGGAGCAGCAACTCATAAGCCACTGCCTGCCCAGCTTCATCGCCCTCCTCTGGGATGAGCTGCCCTGAGCTCCAAACCATGGGACTAATAGCATGGCCAGGGGCTTGGCTTCTAGTCTCAGTTCTGTGACTTGAGACGGACCCTTGTCTTCTGAGGATCTCTGATCTCCATCCTCTAACAAGGAGGCGCTAGCTCCATTCATAAAGTGCAGGACATAAGTGACAGATATCAGTCCTGCTTCCCCTTCTCTCGCCCCTTCAGCCTGTAGTGTCATGGTTTTTCTTCTGTGTATACATATGGATGATCGCGTTACTAAGTCAGGACATCATAGGATGTGGCCTACGGCCTAAGCCAAGCTTCATGGTTCAGCCTCCAGCCCTAGGGAGTCACCCAGTGGTATAGGCAGAAATAGGAAAGACTTGATTTATATATAGTTCAACCACCTCTTTAAAAACTATTAATATTTTATATTTGTTGTGATCTACTTATAGCATAATGCTTGCAAATAGCATATATATAATTTATACATAAATATGTACCAAAGAATTCTGTGTGTGTACTTTTACTGATGGGATAAATAACCTTAGAAAATCTCTTAAATTAGCCACAAAAGAGAGTCCTTGTTCTCCCGTTGACTTCCCCAGTGGGCAGCAGGTGGCCCTCCCTTTGCATAAGGACCAGATGAGGAGTCCTCTACTCAGCAGAGGGACTTGACAGTGTCCAGAGAAACTGGGTTTAGATGCCCAAGCATGCACGGCTGGGTTTGCAGCTGGTAATGTCGGTGTTCCACTTCCCTGCTGGCCCACAGCACAGCGGAATGTTCTCCACCCGCCAAACTGCAAATGAAACAGGTCTGCCCCGTGAGAAACTATAAACTCGCATGATCCATGTGAATGACCCAGTCATGGAAGAAAACCAAGCACAGACGGCTCTACAGAACACGGTTTCATTTGTTTGCTTTTTCTAACAGGATATACTCACTTGTGCATTGGTTTTCACAATTTTTCTAGGATGTGCAAGAAACTCATAACAGGATTTTCCTATGGGAAATTTAAAAAAAAAAATCCAGGTGGGGTACTGGGCAGATAGCTCAGTGGCAGAGCCCTTGTGCAAAATAAATAATAATGATAGGTAAATGTGATGTGTAATTTGAGAATACTTATTTAAGTCAGTTTGATGCCATTCACTAAAACCCCAGCTACTACGAACCTGAGGCAGGAGGATTACTTGAGCCCAGGAGTTTGAGGCCCCGTCTCAATAGAAGACAGTGAAGGGGGAAGGGAGAAAAGGAGGAAGGCAGGAGATAAGTAAATCTGGGTGAAGGAAAAACGTTCTTTTATTCACACTCTTTTGCACTGCTTATATTTTCCCATGAGCGAAGGTGATAAAATAGAAGATTAGCTGTCTGTCACGCTATTTTGGAAAGTGTCCGTCCCTGGTGTGGCGTGCATTTAGCATTACACAGCCGCCACTGCTGTCTAGTTCCCAAGCATTTTCATCGCCCCCAAAAGAAACTGGATCATGAAGCAGTCCCTCCTCAGTCCCTACTTCTCCTCCCCAGTGCCCCCAGCCTCTGCCGTTTCTGGCCATACGGCTTTGCCTATCCTGGACTTTTCATATGAAGGGAGTCATCTGACACGTGACCTTTCTAGATTGACATCTTTCACTTAGCATAGCATTTTCAAGATCTGTCCAGGTAGGAGTGTGCATCAGAATAGGTTGCCTCTGATGGCTGATAAACTCTTTTCTGAGGACATGCCACATCCGGTGTATCTTTCCATCAGCTGATGACATTTACCGTGTTTATACCTTTTGCCTGTGGAGAGGTTGGACCAAGTGATCTGTGGCCCTCTTCAGGCTATGAGTCTCCAGATTCCTATCGCAGAGGTGAAGCAGGCAACTTTTCCTCTCTGGTTCACTAAGGGCAAAGGAAGAGGGAAGGGACAAGGTACTTGCAGGGACCCAAGTTGCATGTCAAGCGCCTCGGCAGAAAGAGGCTCCCTAACTTTCCCAGAGAGTTTACTTCCTTCATACAGGGCAGAGACACCCGCTCCTGGGAAGGCTGGAAGGGAAGGCCTCAGGAAGACCATGGACCCAGTCAGGAGAGAGCCTGCCACCAAACCAGCCAGAGTGTCCCTCCTCTCTCACACACAGTGTCCAGCCATGGTATTCGTTTTGCCCCCACATACCCCACTCCCCCATCTGCCAACTCCAGTCCTCCTTGCACACCGTGCTGCCAACATGTCGGCCTCAGAGAGGCAGAGGCGGGCTCCGAGACTCGCTTGGGAGTGAGCTGAGTATCCCAATAGCTAGGGACTTCAGTACAGCTTTCCTCAGGAAACAGATGGACAGGAGGAACCCAGAGCCAGCGCTCTGAAGAACCGTATGATGAGAGCATGAGCCAGCCTGGCTGAATGAAGGCATCCGGCTCAGTTCTGATCCAGACTCAGCAATCTCTATGGGGCCTGCTGCCCCGTGTGTAAAATGGAACCAAGCCTCCTTTCTTGCAGCAGGTCCCCTACGCCCTGCAATACCTGGACCAGAGCTATGACAAGGCATTCACACACACTCAGTGCCATTGGGCAATGAGCGAAAACATCTTTGAGCTGGGCCTTGAAGGATGGGGAGCGATTCTCTGATAAAAATGTAAGAAGGCAGAGAGAATAGGATGAACATAGACCTGGAGGTCTGGCGAGGCCCAACAAAGCAGTTTGTTGTGACGAGTATGGAGGGTTAAATGAGGAGCCACAGCAGACCAGGTGCCGAAGTAGAGTCCCCCACTCAGGCTGAGGCTGCCTTGAGCCCCCACTCTCTGTCCCTGGGACTTGCCCAGCCCTGCCCCTGGATTCTACCCATGTGTCTACAAGCTTGACTCTTTCGAACACCTCCACAGATGGCTGCAGCCCAGCCCAGTCGATTGTAGGTGGCTACTATGAGGACGCGGACAGCAGCTACCCCACCACAAGGCTGAACGGAGAGCTGAAGAACTGTATGTACCAGGCAGCTGCTCACACAGCTGTCCTCCCGAAGAGCTGGCCCTCGACACGCACACACCCACAACCCCTTACCAGACTGTGATCACCAAACAGGTCCCAAAGCCCTTGTTCTCAGTGGGTTCAGTGGGGGGAAAAAGAAAAACACTGGAATGGGGGAATCACTTGAGTATTCCCCTGATCTAATTCTGGATGGCTGATCTTAGGCAAGTTCAGTTTCCTTGTCTGTCCCAGGGATTTGGATTTGGAGGGTGGTCTGAGACAATGGCTGTGAGTGGTGATGAGGTCAGGGCAGTAACAGAAGTTTACCAAGCACTGACTGGTAGAAGACACTTAGCTAAACATTGTCCATGCCACGGGGTCCAAGGCACCAGGTGAAGCAGCATCTGGTATATATCATGACTACATAGTGGTGAGGAACTCCAAGAAGTGAAATCACCAAGATGCTGTCCCAGAGGCCGCTCCAAAGCAAAGCTTTTGAGTCAGGCCTCTAGTCCATCCTTGTCCTTCCTCTTCCCCCTGTAGCTCGGGCCCAGAGCAGGCTGCCCGCCAGGGTTAGAAGGGGCACGGAGACCGAGGGTCCTTTCCTGTGACACCCACAGACAATGACTCTGACGCCATGAGTAGCTCCTACGAGTCCTACGATGAGGAGGAGGAGGAAGAGAAGGGGCGGCGGCCCAGGCACCAGTGGCCCTCGGAGGAGGCCTCCATACACCTGGTTAGGGACTGCAGGATATGTGCCTTCCTGCTTCGGAAAAAGCGCTTTGGGCAGTGGGCCAAGCAGCTGACGGTCATCAAGGAGGATCAGCTACTGGTGAGTGCCTCCCTGGAGACCTGTGGGTGTGCCTGAGGGTGGGAGTGGTCTCTGCACAGACCCTTAGGGCACAGTACATCGAGCTCCAGCACACGCACACTGCACACAGAGCAAAAGAGTGAGTGGTTCTCCTTCATGATGACTGGAGAGAGTGAGTTCCAGCCAGAGCTACACAGAGAAACCCAGAGTAGGAAAATGAACATAGTGTGGAAAAAGATAGTAGCTTATTTCTCTCTCTCTCTCTCTCTCTCTCTCTCTCTCTCTCTCTCTCTCTCTGTCATGTTTTACTCTGTCTGCAAGCCATGCCATGCTCAACACATGGCTTTGAAACCTTTTCTCACCCTGAACAGTGAAAACTGACTGCAGACCAGGGCCAGTCCAAGGGTCATGATAGGTGTGTTTCCAGCTTTTTGTTTGGTTTGGTTTTTTTTGAGACAGGCTGTCTCTGTGTAACCCTAGCTGTCCTGGAACTCACTCTGTAGACCAGGCTGGCCTCGAACTCACAGAGACCCGCCTGCCTTTGCCTCCTGAGTGCTGGGATTAAGGTTGCACATCACCACCCAGCTATGTTTCCACTCTTTGACCTCCCTTTCTGTATTTTGCTTCACTGCCTGCTGCTGCCAGGCCCTCCCGCCCAGAGGATACAGAGTGACCAGAGAAGACAACCAGTCTCAGCCCAACTCCAAAGGGAACCCTTTGATAATCCTCCTGTACGAGCCGGGCAGTGGAAGGGGGTTAGCTGGAGTGGAATGAGAGGGAGGCAGAAGGGTGACGATAAATCAAAATCTAGGCATGTATGGAAATGTTATTCACTGTGAACCCCGTGATTATGTGCTAAAAACTTAAAAACGGGTAGCACAGCTCAGTGGGTAAGGGCGTTTGTTACCAAGCCTGACGACCTGAACTTGACCCCTGAAACCCGCCTGGTGGAGGTTGGGAACCAACTCTACCAAGTTGCCTCTGGCTACTACATGTTTACCGTGGCACACATGCCTCCGTTCCCCCATAAATAAATAAATGAAACAATTTGAAAAAGAAAATTCATAGTCTGATTTCTTTTATAACCTAGTTGAAGGCTCTAAATGAAACACTGGCAAACAGAACTAAATGCTTATAAAAACACAGGACCACTCCCGGTTTATTCTAGTAACACAAGGGTGGCTTAACACTCAAACTATCCTCCCCTACTCACTGTGTGTTTGTGTGTGTGTGTGTGTGTGTGTGTATAAACCTGTGAGCTTTCTTAGCATTGTTTAAAGGGGCGTAGGTTAGGGGTTATTTATAGGAATGTAGACACCTTACCAGTATATACCCCTATTGAAAGAAATGCCTCTCCCTCCCCCAGCCACATTATCTACTTACAGATCACCTTTTGTAGCAGTATTGTCAACTTCTGGTGTCAAGGTTAAGGTTGGCCTTCTGGTAAGAAAGCCTGCCTCCCCAAGGTCAGCCCTGCTGTACCTGTTGGGATTCCACTCCAACGTTCTGCCACGCAGCCCTTTCGGCTGGCATCCTCCCAAGCCAACCTATTTGTTCTCTGGTTCTCCAGCCCACATGGTCTTCCTAGTATTGTGCTATAATCTGCCTTTTCCTCACGGACAGCTGTGCTGGAAGATTCCCAGAGACCCCCTCTCCAGCTTCTCGCTGTGAGGCATCGCTCACAGTTGGCCCCGAGGGAGGAATCTACTCTTGTGTGTGTGAGGGCCTTACCCCTCCCACCCCCTACTGCAGGAAGCTCTGACCCCCTTCTCTCCCTGCGCAGTGTTACAAAAGCTCCAAGGACCGGCAGCCGCATCTGAGGCTGGCGCTAGATGCCTGCACCGTCGTCTACGTGCCCAAAGACAGCAGGCACAAGCGACATGAGCTGCGCTTCTCCCAGGGGGCCACAGAGGTGTTGGTGCTGGCTCTGCAGAGCAGGGAGCAGGCAGAGGAGTGGCTGAAGGTATGCTCGCACAGGACACACTGGAGGCTGCCACCCTGCACTCCCTTCCTCTCTGTCCCCAAGCATGGGGTTCTGACCTTTGAAGTTACAAACCTTATCTAGGGGAGAAGGGATGGGGGGTACATGACTAGGGTTCATATCAAATGGGCCTTGGATACTCACAACAAGCAGGCCTCATGGAGGAGGTCTATACTCTCCGTTATTTAACTTCCCTATATAGCAACCTACTGTTAGCCCAACCTACACTCCTGGAATGGTCTGCTTGATGCCTTTAAAACTGATTTCATCATTAGGCCAACTAGCCCTTCTAATTTAAAAATAGGGAGAGGACGAATCTCCTTTGTGTTTTTAGTTGGGAACGTGCATTGTTGTGATAGCCACTGGAGTTCAGCATCTTTCTGGTGTCAGAGGGTGCCACCATGTATTAACCACTTTGTACCGTCCAATGTGCCAAAGCCTCATGCAATGACCATTGGAGCTGTTAATACTGACATTCAAAGGTGAGTCAGCTGAGGCACAGAGAACTTAAAGTGGTCGCCAGAGGTCACAGGCAGCATCACATGATTGGGACCAAGATGTGACACTAAGTAGGTCTACTCCAAAGTCAGCTTGGTGGCACCGTAATGGCGGGGGAAGACTTTGATGGTGCATGGATTTGAGTTCAAGTTCCAGAGAGCCCTAAGACCTTATGCAAATGGCATTAGTTGCCCCGTGCCTCAGTTTCCTCATCTGTTAAATGGTTCTTTTAAGGATTCAACAAGAGTTAACACAGTGCCTACCAGGTAGTAAGTGAGCTGTAGCATTGGTTGGCTTCTGGTGGTGGTGGTCATGGCACTATCCTGCCCCCCAGTCCTCTCCAGCAGACCCCCATCCATCTACTCCACTGGACACCCCGCTCTCCTCTCCTACCTTCAGGTTGGAACAATGAAGCCAGAGTCCTCCTTTTACTTCCTCCTCCCTCCTCCCTTCCTTCCGGTGATAACCAGCTCTCCCTGGAATGTTTGGTATTCCCATCCCTACCTTTGTGTCCAGAGGGGAAGGAAGGGAGAGAACTTGCCTTCAGGAGCCTCAAGCTTCAGGGTCCCTGTGAGCCAAACATAGGAGTCTTAGGCCCAGAGTTCAAAGGGATCTGCCTGGCTGTGCTGGTCCTCTGTACTGGTCCAAGGCTTACCTACCTAGCAGCCACACAGCCTACTTCAGGGTCTGCTCTGCTGCCTCCTACCAGCGCCTTTACCTCCCAGGTCACATCATCCTCACCTGTACCTTGAGGATCACAGACCACTGTGGGGATAAATGCTGTTGTCTAGGAGACCATCAGACGGTGCCTTCTTAGCCCTGGCTGTCCCAGAACTCATTCTGTAGACCAGGCTGGCCTCGAACTCGGAGATCTGTCTGCCTCCGCCTGTGTGCTGGAATTAAAAGCGTGTGCCACCACACCAGCTTAGATGGTGACTTCTTATATTTTATCATCTGCATGCTTATTCCTGGGACCCTGCGTAAGTGAAAGGACCCCGAATCAATTCCCCGTGTCACTGAAAGCAACAGTCCTAGCTGTCACTTAAGCCCCTCACCTTTGTGAGTCTTCAAGATTCACATCTCTCCTACCCACGGCCTCACTCGCCTCTGCAGAGAGCAGTGTTCTTATAGTAGGGATGTGTATAGAAAGCCCTTCCAGACAGGCTCGGAGAATAAGTTTGCATGTGTGCAGATGGCTGTTTCAGCCCTACTCTGCCTCCTGGTGGCCCTAATTCATCTTCACAATAGGCTTGCTCCCACAAATCCCAGCCATGCTTCTGTCCTCAGAGCTTTCCGGCACACCTGTCCCCAGCCCCGTGTTCTCTTCACAGGTTATCCGTGAGGTCAGCCGGCCGTGTGGGGGAGCAGAGGGCTTGGAGGCCCCCAGATCTCCAGTCTTCCTGTGTAAGCTGGATCAGGACAAGGTATGTCTGTCTCCAATTGACTTTTCTGGGTCAGATAATGGGCACTAAGCACAGGCCACACACACACACACACACACACACACACACACACACACACACCTGTGGCATCCTACAAGCTAAGCAGCAAAGTGGCAGGTGCCTGGTGGTCAGGTTAGTCTCTGCGACAACATACCTGCCGTAAACAGCCAAAAGAGGAATGATTTGTTTCGGTTAAGCCACTCAGTCAGCTGGCAGCGTGCTACAGGCCTTGGGCGAGGCTGAGCATCGCCAGGGTGCTGTATTGCAATAATAGGAAGAGGTGGGAAACAGGGAGACAGGCGGTGCAGCTCACCTCATAAGAGACAGAAAGCAGACAGAGAAGCAGGAAAGAACCAGGTGTGTGTCTTCTCAGGCCAGGCCCTGGCCTATCAAGTTCCACTGCCTTCGATCAGTTTCAGAGAGCTAAATTTAGCCATGAGTAAATCCACTGAAGGAAGAGAGCCCTTAGGATCCAGTCGCTTCTCAGAAGTCCCACTTCCTGAATGCTTGTGTTGGAGACGGGTTTTCAGAAGGGAACACTGTAACCAAGTCCCATAGTGAATAAGGAACAGAGCTAGCATTTGAGCCCACACAGGCTGCCTCTTTTAGGGAGACTCCGCCCTTACCAGACCTTCTGCAGAAACCTGTATGACCCCTGATCGCACTACACTATCAGTCCAATGGTCAGGCAGGCATGAGTCAAAACCATCATACTGTATTATATCTGCTACCCTGGGAACATGCTAAAAGAGACAGGACTAGGTTCCTGGTGAGTGTCAGGGAGGCATGATCCTGTCTCAGAGGCTTAAGAGTATTCCCAAGGAAGTGATGCCTCAGACAAGGATGAAAAGGGCAAAACTAAAATAAAAAGGTGCTCTAAGCAGCAGGGACGGGCAGAAGAAGAAGCAAGAAAATGTGGAACTGAAAGTGGCCTGTGTGGCATGGGCTAGAGATGGGGAGCTGTGAGAGCTGGCTCTGGACAGGGATGGGAAATGGACCTGGGAGCTTGGGATGGCTGGAGTGTTAGGGAACACGGATTCCTATGAAGTGAACTGAAGGAGAAGCCCAGCCCTGCCCACACTTAGCTTTTACCAGTTAGTAAGGTCGTAGGAAAGCAGCCCTGGAAGAGGGGTATGAGCGTGCAGGTACACACTATGATACAGCCAGCACTGGAAGAGGGGTGTGAGTGTACGGATACACACTATGATACGGCCTCTGGCACAGTGCAGAGGCTCCATAGAGCAACAGTAGGTCAAGCCGTGCAGTGGAGTTCTCTGCCATGGTTGAGTGGACCAAGAGAGGGTAACTGATGTACTATGGTGGTCATTGTGGTGGAAGAAGAGCTGGGATGTTGTGTTGGTGGGGTCTCTTTCCACGGGATCACGAGATTGAAGGGTCATCCCTGAATTCATTACAAACTCATGGTCTTCCTCTGTATCTGTTTCCCATCTTGGTGGAAAAGTTGCTATATGTGGGCTGGAGAGATGGCTCAGTGGTTAAAAGCAATGCCTGCTCTTCCAGAGGTCCTGAGTTCAATTCCCAGCAACCACAAGGTGGCTCACAACCATCTACAGTGAGATCTGGTACCCTCTTCTGGCCTGCAGGCAAACATACAGGTAGAGCACTGTACACATAATAAATAAATAAATATTTTAAAAAGTTGCTATATGCACACTACTGCAGAACAAACAGGGCTGTAACTTCAATTTCAAAACCACAGACAAGGTTCTTCAAACGCTCATTCACTTTCTGCTTGGTGCCTCCCCATACCCACAGCTAATAGGGAATAGTAGCCCTAGGATTTCTTCCATGATTTCTGCTCTACCTCCGTTGTAGCATATGAATTCATGAATGAATCAATGAAGGTATGGCTATTAATAGACTGGCAACAAAGCTTTTGTGTGTGTCTGTGTGTCTGTGTGTCTGTGTGTTTATGTTTGTGTTCCTTCATTCTTTCAAGATAGATCTGTAATGGATGTCTACTGATCATTGGGTCTTATCACAACTTCTTTGAAAGCATCATCACCCCTTTTCTTGTATGCTATCACCTTGGTCCATCCCTTTCTGGAACTTCATCCTGATCAGTTTGCCCAGGGGCTCTTCAGCATCCACGGTTGCCTACTCTTGTCCATCCCTGCAGTGCTACTGGATTACATTCACATTCCCTGTAAATGCTTGCCCTTTTTCATTTGCCAGATACAATGCATATTCCAGGACATCACTGTCAATGCATTATAATTAGGGCTTCCCTTCTCCCCATAGTGTAACCTGAAGACATGATCATTGCTGCCTTCCTGATAATGCTGGGGTGGTATCAGATACATGATCGCTGTTGCTTAGAGAGTTGGAAGAAGACTGGGCTTCTAGGGGAGCTCTTCTAAGAGTCTCACTGATGTGAGGCTGTCTGTGTCCTTCCCCAGAGATTGTCCCAAGAGAAACAGAACTCGGACTCTGACAGCTTGGGCATGAATGACAGCAGTTCCACCCTGAGCCGCCGAGAAGCCTGTGAACATGGTAGGAGTCCACTGTCCATGCTGGAGAATGTCAAAGATGGGAGGGACTTTGCCACAGGTACACAGTGGTAGAGTTATGTCCCGGAGACCTGAGTAAGGCCACTGGGCCTTTCGTCTGCGGAATTACAGACTAGTCCCTGTGTGCAGCTTGCAAGGGCTGCTGGGAAGGCCAGAAATGGGTAAAAGTGGGACCTTCCCCGTGATCCCCTGTGACCCACTCCTGTGCTGCCAGGCAAAGGGAAGAAGAATAGCCTCGCTGAGCTAAAGGGCTCCATGAGCAGGGCTGCAGGCCGGAAGATCACGCGCATCATCAGTTTCTCCAAGAAGAAGGCGCTGGGCGAGGACCTGCAGACGTTTTCCAGTGAGAATGAGGTTCCGTGCTGCGGTAAGTCCTGACACAGAAGAAGGAAGTGCAGGCCCTTGAATCCAGGCCCTAGGGCTGATGCCAGGAAATCTCGGCCCCTCAGCCCCTGATCTGTTCCTCTGGATGGCTAGGCTCCACTCTGTCAACATCCATGCATGCATCCCTTCACTCCCATGGGTGAAAGGATTGCCCAGGGAAAGGGAAATCCACTGACTATCGTATCGGTGACTCCTGTGAACTCAGTCAAACTGCTATCCATCTGTAGGCTCCAGCTTCCCCTGCTAATGTGAGAGAGGCAGCATCTCACGTGCCAGGTGTGCTGGCCTTGGTGATACATACCCATAATTCCAGAACTAGGGAGCTGAAAGCTGCAGGATCAGGAGTTCAAGGTCATCTGTGTGTCTACATAGCAAGTTCAAGGTCAGAGGCCAGCCTGGAGTTCACGGAACCCTTTCTCAAAAACAACAACCAAAGTATATAAGTTTCATGTATATGTTTATGTAGCTTATATCCTGGCCTTTATAAGCTAGAAAAATAAAATAAGATTTACACAGAAACATGGCTGCTGCCTTTGTGGAGCTAGAAGGACCTTAACGCAGTGTGGGAAACTTTGCAGAGACTGGAGTTACTTGCTGGGAGAGTCAAGCATCTTGAAGGGCAGTGGTTTCTGGTTTATCTACATATATATGTAAGTGTATATAGATTGTAGCCTAGTCTGATAAGGAAATTGGAATAAAAATGTTAAGTACTTTTTAAGATAATACATCTTAGTAAAAAGTGTCTGGCAGAGAAGGCATTGCTTCTTTCGTACAAGTGCTGTGGTCCATGTGCTATAATCCAGTTGATAGTCACCTGTTTTAAAGGGGATGGGGTGTGTCTCAACGGCAGAGCATTTGCCTAGCTGTGTGAGATCCCAGGTTCCATACCCAGCATAGCAAAAGATAAAATCATCTATTTCAGATATGCAGAAATACTATATTAGCTTAAAAGCTGTAATTCTAGCTTAATGGTGGTGGTGCCACACAGCTTTAATCCCAGCATTCGGGATGCAGAGACAGGCAGATCTCTGTGAGTCCAAGGCCAGCCTGGTCTGCAGGACAAGTTCCAATACCACAAGGGCTACACAGAGAAACACTGCCTTGAAAACCAATAAATAAACAAATAAACAAATTAATTAATTAATTAATGCTGCAGTTATAAAGAAATAGTTCATGGTCATTAAATCATAACATGCTGTGGTAAAGAAAAAAAAAACAATAAAAATAAATAAACCCCTAAAATGCTCAGAGCTGATTCTAGCTCCCTCTGTGGTCAGCTGCACAGCTGTCTGCTTAGGTTTACCAATCCTTACGGTGGTAGCGTTTCTGTGTGCTGCCGCTAGGTGCCAGCACCATCCATCACTTTCCATCTTAGCAGGAATTTCAGTTTGGCGGAGTGTAGGGAGCAGCTGCTGCTTTTGTAGGCCTTCTCTAGGATTGTCGGCCATTTCCATCACACGTGGTGTGGTCCTGGGGCCAGAAAAGGATGCATGACTAGCATCGTCAGGGAGCACTCACAGCCGGGCAGCTGAGACTTAGAGAGGAGGATGCCTAAGGTGCCAGGCCTTCCTGCCAGCTCGATCACAAGGTTTGCCCAAGGGGCTATAACAGGTCATTCGACTGTCTCTTTTTCTAGGCTACCTAAACGTGCTGGTAAACCAGGGCTGGAAGGAACGGTGGTGCCGCCTCAAGTGTAACACTCTCTATTTCCACAAAGACCGCACAGACCTGCACACCCACGTGAATGCCATTGCCCTGGGGGGCTGTGAGGTAGCCCCAGGCTTTGGACCCAGGCACCCGTTTGCCTTCAGGATCCTGCGCAATCGGCAGGAGGTGGCCATCCTGGAGGTGAGAGGAGAGAGTCAAGGTAGGGGTAGGGGGTGGGGGTGTCAGCTTGTGCCCACTCTAACACAGGAACTTTGGGGAAAGAACCCAACGTGCTTGCCAGGTGACATAGGGGACACCAGGGATGCTGAATTCCAAATAAACAAGGAATCGTGTTTTTCATAGGAAAGTATCCTGGGTGGTTTGGAGACACACCTACACTGAAAGGTTATTTGTTGTGTATCTGAAGTTCAAACCCAACACAGCACACTGTGGTTTTCTATCCTAATTCTGGCAGCCCTAATTCTAGATCCCAGGTTTGCTTATTTGCCCTGCCTGACCTTACAGTTCCAGGTCCAACAGGCATCTCCTGCGGTCTGACTGGGATCTGATTCTGGAGTTCTCTCTCAGACCTTCCCAGCAGGAGGCGTTGACCTCAGAAAACCCGCTGCCCTTCAGGGTGCCCGTCCCTGCCCCTGAGCAACTCCAGCCTCTACAGAGAGTTTCCCCACACAGAGTTAAGATCCTTCCAGCTCCATACTGGCAGGGCCGCAGCCACATTTTCGGACACTGTTTCTCTTTCTAGACCTCTGCACCGTGTCCCGCACACAGTGAGCTCAGCAGGCCCATACATGAGTGCCGCCTGCTCACCGCCCGTCCTACCAGCTGGCACCGCCCTCCTCTCTGAGGCTGTTCAGAGCACACACTCCGTGTGACAGCCCTCAGGATACTTAGAATTCACAATGTTGACACAGGAAAGTTCAAATGTCCACCTGCCCACGTTATAGACAAACAGGCCAGGGCAGCCACGTGATTTTTCAAGGCTGGAGGAGTGTCTGTACCCTTTCCATCTGCCTCATTGTTTTTCAGCTTCAAACAGTATTATCTCTCCATCTTCCTGTTGAGTTTTTTGTTTCCCTTAACTACAGAGTTTTCTAAGGTTTTTTTTCCCCCTTTAAAAACCATGCTTCATTTATTTCTTTATTTAACTTTGCCATTACTAGCTGACTGGTTTGGGATCATGCTCTTCCCATCAGAATTAAGGATATGTTTAACTGGCCTGCAGTTTATCCTAGGGAATTTTCCATAAATGGTACTGTAATGCTTTGGTAATTACAGTCTAAGAAAATTTTGAGTTATATGAGCTATTTCCTATGTAGAGAATTAATTATAAATATGGAGGCTGGAGAGATGGCTCAGCAGTTAAAAGCACTTGCTGCTTTGGCAGAGAATCCTGTAGTGATTCCCAGCACCCACAAAGTGGCTCACAGCCATCTGTAACTCCAGTTCCAGGGGTTTTGGCTTCTGCAGACACCAGGCATTAATGCAGTACACATACATACGTGCAGGCAAAACAATTAGTCATACACATAATATAAAAATAATTTTTAAACAATATATGTTTTCGGGCTGGAGATGTGACTCAGTGATAAAGCCAGGCCTTGAATACACAGGGCGCTCTGGGTTTGATCCCCAGCGTGGAAGAAGGAGAGGGAAGGAAGAAGTTTCGAGAACCATGAAATGTTTTTACATCCAAATGGTCAGATATAAAAGCCCAGAGGATGGAGGGTAGGGATATGCCATCTTATAGGAGTAATCAGGGAGGACCCCTCGGAGGAAGTAGCTTGTTGAGGAAATACTTGAGAGAATTCAGGAGCCTTGGATTCCGGCATGTGTGTCTAGTCTAATTCTTCCTTCTTCACTAAGTCCTGAGGACTTCTAAACATTTGTGGGTTTCTATGACGTGAGCAAGCAGCCAGAAGGCTTCACGGTGTGAAAGTGAACTGCACTGTGCCTCCTGTCCCCAGGCAAGCTGTTCAGAAGACATGGGCCGCTGGCTCGGGCTGCTGCTGGTGGAGATGGGATCCAAAGTCACCCCAGAGGCCCTGCACTATGACTACGTGGATGTGGAAACCCTAACCAGCATTGTCAGTGCTGGGCGCAACTCCTTCCTGTAAGGGTGATTCCAGGACGCACCGCTGGTGGGGGGAGGGGTGTATTCCTCCCTCAGTTCTGCGACCCACCCCTGCAGGGGTATCCCAGCCAGGCTCCTTTCAGCCTTGAGCATTGGGCGGAAGGGGTGGGGCAAGCTCAGGAAGTCTGCTTCCTTGGGAAGGATAACACCTTCGCCAATGTGGGAAGCATGGCCTGCTGCTTGCCATTCTGGGATCTGTCGGCTGACTTACAAAGAATGATGGGAATGAGCCACCTGTTGTCACTTGTGAAACTCATGCATGCCTGTGCAGTCCTCGCAAGCGCGTGACCTTTCAGCCTACATTAAAAACTGCTGCCGGGACTGGAGAGGTGGCTCAGTGGTTAAGAGCACTGGCTGCCCTTCCAGAGGACCCAGGTTCAATTTCTAGCACCCACATGGCAGCTCACACCTGCCTATCAGTCCAGTTCCAGGGATCTGACACCCTCACACAGATGATACGCACGTGGGCAAAACACCAGTTCACATAAGAATAACTAAAATGAGTAAAATTGAAAAGAAAGGAAAAAAAAGCAGCTGCCAACATCCAATGAGAGAAGACATGAAGGCAGCATACGCCACAAAATGTCACCAACATTAAACCTTTCATGTTCTAGGTATGCACAATCCTGCCAGGATCAGTGGCCTGAGCCCCGTGTCTATGATGAGGTTCCTTATGAAAAGGTGCAGGTACAGTTATTCCTACAGCTTAGTAATATGCCAAAGGCTGTCCTTCCATGTCTTCTCTCCCCTTCACTACCCACTTTATCCTTTGCTTCAGAGAAATTGCCTTCACTAACCCGCCCGCTCTCAGTGACATGTCCTGTGCCTTCTGAGAAAAATAACAGAAGACAGGTACACTGCAACCAGAAACGAGTGGGTGGGTGGCCCTGCATCTAGAGGAGAGGGAACAAAGCTGCTGAGGATACGGCACACCTGTGAGCCAGGACCCTGCCTGGATTAGAAGATGGCTTGAGTCCTCATTTCCATGATCCCCCTTTTCTAGAAACATCCCCAGCCTGCCCTTTTGTGCCCAAGGTCTTTCTTCACTGCAACTTGAAGGTTTTGCTTGGTTGCAGAAAATCTAATAGCTGGGTAGTTTAGCACTTCATATATAGCCGGGTTGCTATATACATACATATATGTGTGTGTGTGTGTGTAAAGATAGATAGATAGATAGATAGATACTTATATACATACATACCTATATTACCATATGGTGGTACACGCTCTTAATCCCAGCACTCAGGAGGCAGAGGCAGGTGAATCTCTGAGCTCGAGGCCAGCCAGAGCTACGTAGTGAGATCCTGTCTCAAACAAACAAACAAACAAAAACCTAAACAGTTTAGATATGATATGAAGGCTGGAGTCAGAGGGACCTTGGCTTTGCATTTCAGACCTCCTGATTCCCACTTCCCACCTCCACGTGGATGTGCAGGTCCTTCTCCTCTTAGGAGTATTTTGAGAACAAAATGTAGTGATTTGTGTTAAAAAAAAAAAAAAGAAGAAAGAAAGAAAGAAAGAAAGAAAGAAAGAAAGAAAGAAAGAAAGAAAATAGTGCAGTGCCCAGGCAGTGCGCTGTTCTGCCCAGAGAAGTAACAGTACTGTTCCTAATAATGTGGTTACGTGACACTAATGTATCGATCACACCAGGCTTCAAGACCTTCGCTAAACTTGGAGCATGGAAAATGCTCTAAGAGCACAAATGCAGTCAGTTTAATAAGGTGCATCGCCTCTGCCACCGGCTCCTCTCTTCCATGCCTTTGCTTCCTTCCTTTTCCTCCTCCTCCTCTGAGGGAAGACGGCATTAGCAATTCAGAAAATAGAAGAACGCTTTCAAATGATAGAAGGACAAAATGCCTCTCATAGAGGCAGCCACCCGCAGTTCCCTGAGCCCTCTCATTTGTCCTCTCAGTAAGTACACCAACTTAAGGTTGCCTTTTACCTCGCACAGAAAGGTATGAGGTTCAAACCTTTATAGGTTTGAACTGCTAGTGAGGTAGCCTGTGAGCTGTAGAGAACTGTGCAAGTCTATGTCTCTAAGGCCCAGATCTCAAGGGAGCTGGCCGGAAGCTCTCTGTCTGAACTTAACCTTCTACCTCTGTCCCCCTTGCCCAGGATGAGGAGCCCCAGCGCCCCACCGGGGCTCAGGTGAAGCGCCATGCCTCCTCCTGCAGTGAGAAGTCCCACCGTGTGGACCCGCAGGTCAAAGTCAAGCGCCATGCCTCCAGTGAGTTCTGTGGTCTTTCTCCTGCTCGAGGGAGGGAGAGGAGAACACTGCAGGGGCCTCAGTACCAGATTTCTCCAGGGGTAAGGGAGCAAAATGAGTAAAAGCAGTCCATCCGTAAATAGTCTACCCTAAGGAAAGGAGTGGGGGCTGGGCAGTGTGGGAGCACTTGCCAGGTATGGGAAGATGTAAGGTCCCAGTATCCAGCATAGCAAGAGAAACAAAAAGCAAGTGACCATAATAGTATGGCCAGAGAGCAAGTGAATAGCAGAGGGAGGTTTGTGGCGAGGCTGGAGTGCTTGGGTCCTAATTCCAGAGGTAAACTTTGCTTGGCTTACTCAGGAGACCCCACTCAGCATTTCCTAGTTACTCAAAAGGCCAAAAATTAAGCTTCATGTGGATTCTTTTTTACTTTGAGGTAGAGTTTTCCCTATGTAGCCCTGGCTGTACCGGAACTCACTCAGTATAACTGGTTGACCTCGAACTCAGAGATCCACCTGCCTCTGCTTCCCAAGTGCTGGGATTAAAGGTGTGTGCCTCCACCACCACCCGGCATGTGAATTCTTAATAAATAGATGCTAATTTAAATGTTTTTATATTGCATGGGTATTATCTGTATAATAGTTGAGTGTTTAAAGGTATATAAGCATATATGGGTATATGTGGGGGGGAGAGCTCATCTTTTCCAGAAGATCAAAGTTTGTGGTCTCTGATCCAGGGTAGTAAGCAGATAATCAGTTCCTCCCCAGTCCCTGAGCAGGTGTGTCACAAGATTTACAGCTCACTCTGTCCCCATCTGTGCTCTCCAGAGCACACAAGAGACTCACTGAAGCCATCCTAGAGCGAGCCAGCTTCCTAGAGGACAACATACTCTTTCTTAAGATTTCCTTCCCATGCACCTGAACATTCTAACCTTTGCTTTTTGAAGACTTCTTTTAAAAAAAACAAAGCGAAAACTTTTCTGTTCCCTCGTTCCCTTGCATTAGTGTATATAAATCATAGCTCCTCAGACTGGGGAAACCGGTCTTCCATTCTCACTTGGCTGAGACACTGCTATGTAACTTTAAATAAGTCCTTTCTCCTCTCTGGTCCCCTGAGGAAGGAAGAGATGCATGGTGTTCTTGATAAGCTTCTTGCTTAGGCGCTGGAAATACAGGGCTGTGAAAAAAACATGTTTAAAATGGAAAACCGTTCTTCATGTAATTGACATGCTGCGGTCCCGGCACTAAGGAGACAAAGACAGGACAATCCCTGCAAGCTCCAGGCCAGGCCTTGTCTGCATGAATAAAAAGACCAGGGCCGCACAGTGAGACCCACACCTTGAATCCCAGCACTCAGGAGGCAGAAGCAGGCAGATCACTGTGAATTTGAGGTCAACATGGCCTACGTAGTGAGTTCCAGGACAGCCAGAGCTACATAATGAGAAATTGTCTTGGAAAAAAACAAAAAATAAAATATAAATCGATGGATAAGCAAAGTAGAAAATTGAAGTCACTATGTAAGATTAAAGAAATCACAAAATATCAACATCAACAAAAAGTGTAAAACCTAGACCTGCTTGTTTTGTTTGTTTTTAAATCAAGTCTCTCACAAGGGCCCATACGGTAAGAGCTGTGATGCTGGGGCTGGTGTAGCTAAGGACCACTGGCCTCTCCGTCCGCATCCCAAGGGCTGTGGACCATGGCTGAAGTCACAGGGCTCCTGGAGGGTCTCGAAGCCACATGATGTAGTCCAGTGATGTCCTGAGGCACACAGGAGAAAAGCTGCCCTGCTCCTCAGTCCGCTGTAACAAAACATCCTAAGCTAGATGACCTTTCAAAAACAACAGCTTGTTTCTTCTAGCTTTGAAAGCCAGAGTCCAAGTCAGCAGGCGTGGCATCTGGGCCAGCCCCCCTCCCTTTTGCATAGATGGCTATCTTGCTCTCCTCTGAGGCCACTGATGTCACGTTTACAGATTCTGTGCTCGTGACCTCATCACCTAGAGTAAGACACGGGTCCAGCTTGTCTCTAGTGCCACAAACAGTGGGACCTAACCTTTCTGTGCCTGGCTTCCTCGGCAGTAAAATGAATGATGAGCAGAGCCAAGTACGTTACACAATGGATAGAGGAAGGCTAAGTGGGAATTCAGGCAGGTGGCTGAGCAGAGCATACACTGCGTGAACAGCATGGTCCTGTGTGGTTGCTTGCTGTCCACCGTGGTGCTGGACCTACAGCACACTCCTGGGGCTTTCGCTCTTCCCACCCTTCCCCAGCAGAACAATGAGCAGGGCCTGACACTGGCCTGGGTCTGATCTGAGTTATATGTAGGCATCTTCCTCTGTCACAAATACCTGAGACTTGACTCATTCAAAGCACACTTTCTTTTCTTTTTCTTTTTTTTTAATTAATTTATTTATTTATTAAAAATTTCCACCTCCTCCCCGCCTCCTTTTTCCCTCCCCCTCCCCACCTCCCCCTCCCTCTCTAGTCCTAAGAGCAGTCAGGGTTCCCTGCCCAGTGGGAAGTCCAAGGTCCTCCCCCCTCCAGCCAGGTGAGCATCCAAACAGACCAGGCTCCCACAAAGACAGTCGATGCAGTAGAATCAAAACCCAGTGCCATTGTCCTTGGTCAAAGCACACTTTCCACAAAGCAAAATGGGTTAGACATCGCAAAGTTTGCTCTAGTATATGATACTACTATCATTATTTCCTGACATTTACTAAGCACTAATTAGTTGCCGGGTACTATAGTAAGTACTTTTTCTTGATTATCTCCTTTAAACCTCACTGCCTCCTGGAAGCTAAATGTTATCAGTGTGTTTATTTGTACGTAAGGACACTGAGGTTTTGGGGAAAGGCACAAAAGCACACGGATCATATTTCGGTGTGACATCACACACCCAGCCAAGACAGAATGCCAACCCAGGTCTGCCTGGTTCCAAGCCCTATGCTGTGCTGCTCCCCTGGTCTTTCCTATTTCCTCGGAAGAGCCACACTAAATACACTTACATGAGTGGACCTAACCATGCATATGTTGCGGATGAAGTTGAGATAAGAGGCAAGCTAACGCCACATGTGTGCCTCCCCAGAGGTCAGATCTGAGGACCTCTTGCTGTCCTGTACCTCTGTAGGTGCCAATCAATACAAGTATGGCAAGAACCGGGCTGAGGAGGACGCCCGCAGGTACCTGGTAGAAAAAGAGAGGCTGGAAAAAGAGAAGGAGATGATTCGGACGGAACTGATGGCTTTGCGGCAGGAGAAGAAGGAACTGAAGGAAGCCATCCGGAACAACCCAGGTACCTGCCAAGGTGTGGCCCTGAGTGCACAGGGGTGGCTCAGCCTGACCTCCCCTGGCACAATAAGGGGAGGGCTCTTACACAGATCTCCTGGTTTTCCACTCAGGAGAGGTGGGCTTCACCCCTTCTCATTATCATTCATCCTGACTTAAGACAGTGCTGGGAGTTTAGTGAGTGCTTCCAGGTAGAGCATGAGAAGCCCCCTAGTACTGTAGACCTCCCTGGGTAAGAGACGGCCTGACTACAGCAGCGAGGAGAGCAGAAGCATGCCTTGGCATCTTGGTAGTCAGACTATTTGGGTGCTGCATTTATTCACCCAGATGTAAGCCAGTGGCCCAGGGCTAGGTTTGATGAACACTGATCTTTTCCAGGATCTCCTTCTGCAATCCAGTGACGTCACCAGGCCCTGCTTGCTCTGGGCTTCTCTAACCACATTTTCCACTGTGTTTCTTTGCATCCTTTACCTAGCGGCAGTTCACCACACTTCTGACTGGCTGTCTCCCACATGTTCTGGGGAGTAGGAAGTCCTACCTTACAGAACACACATGGGTCTTTTAGAGCGCTGAACCTATGGGCCCTTCCCTAAGAACAAAACACTTCATCAGAATGGTACAGACAAATTCAGTGGCCCAACCCTAGAGCCCATCCGTAGATCACTACAGGCCTAAGATAAGGACTTCTGTTAAACCAGAGAATGGATACTTGGAACCTTGTGTGGTAGAACACAGCTCTGGTTCCAGCAGGCAAATGGATCTCCATGAGTTGGAGGCCAGCTTGATCTACATACCAAGTTCAGTATAAGGAAAATGTGTGAGACTAGGGATGTAACTCAGTGGTGGAGCACATGCCCTTGCTAGCATGTGTAAGGCCCTGGACTCAGTCCCCCATAAACAAACAAACAAAGGACAGGAACTTTCCAGCGGTAAGAGCCATGATTTGGAACAGGCTGATGACTACCCCAGCCAACGTTTTTATCTGTATCGATTTGCAGTATGCAAAAGTTAGTATATTCATTACTTTTGCTTATATTTGTCATACACATATACATATAAGATTACACAAGCGAAGACCTTTGCCTGTTTTCTTCGCTGATCCACCCCAAGGGTCTAGGACAATACTTGATACATAGTAAGAATTCAATAAACCACTACTAAAGCAATGAATGAATGCATCTAACTTGACTATAAAGCTTTCTAGTGGAAAGGATGGAGATGATTTCGACTGAGCTAGAACTGTGGCTCCTTGGTAGACTGCCTGCCTGGCATTCACAAAGTCCTAGGTTCCATTTCTGGCACCACATAAACCAGGCATGGCAGCACACACCATAATCCCAGGACTTCGGAGGCAGGCATTTTCCATTATGCAGTCTGAGGCAAGTCTGGGCCACATGAGACCCTATTTTTTGAGTGTTTTAAGATTTTTTTAAAAAGGTTTTTATTTGTTGTGTATACAGTGTTCTACGTGCATACATACCTGCAGGCCAAAAGAGGGCAACTCAGAACCTTTGGAAGAGCAGTCAGTGCTCTTAACCCCTGAACCATAACTCCAGCCCCCTTAAGATTTTTTTAAACAGTTTTTTTTAAAAAATAGAGGGCTGTAGATGTAGCTCTGTGGCAGAGCCTTTCCGAGTGTGCAAGCACTTAGGTTCAATCCCTACTCCTCCACATACAAATGGAGCTTCTTCCCCTTTGTGCTGACATAGAGACTGTGCAGTACAAGCCTTCACCCAGTCCTCCAAACACCCCAGCAAAAGGGGAGCCTCTTCCCAGTGACCACCACCAAAATCTCAGGCTTCACTCCATTTGAGCCAACCCTAAAGTCTAAACCCATCACTGTGAGTGGAAGATGAGAGGTAATGGTGGGCCAGGCCCCTGAGTTACATGGGACCCACCTACTCAAACTGTAGGGAATGAGTGGGCAACTAAGGTTTTGCAGTGGGCTATTAGGGTGCTGTTTCCTAAAGATGGAGGCTAGGCAGCTAAAGACCACCACAGAGTGTGGTTGGTAACCCACCCCAGAATCCATCTTTTACCTACACCCACACCGCTAGAAAGGTCCTCCGGGAGAGACGGCAGCACCTGAGGCCCCACAGACTTTCTCATCAGTTTCTCTGGGCTCAGGAGCGAAGGTGAAGGCCATGGAGGAGGCTGTGGCCACTCTAGAAGCACAGTGTCGTGCCAAGGAGGAGCAGAGGATCGACCTGGAGCTGAAGCTGGTGGCTGTCAAGGAGCGCTTGCAACAGTCCTTGGCAGGGGGCCCGGCCCTGGGCCTATCTGTGGGCAGCAAGAACAAGAGCCAGGTGAGTCCAGTGCCTCCCCCAGGGGGCGGCCACTTCCGAGCCCCTCTCTGCCACTCCACTGTTTGTTCTCATTCCCAGTTACGACAGTCAGAAGCGTTTCCAGAAAGTTCCACATGTCCCAAGAAGGGCAGGACTACCCCCATTAGCCCATTAGGAAGCATTGCTATAAATTGCCAATGGTCATTTACATTCTTCATCTGCTTAATACTGAACCACTAGAGGGAAACATATGCATATTGGTGTGCTTGTTTGTATAATGTCTGTCTTCTGCCCCAAGTATTTTGTGTTTTCATTAAGACTTGAGGGATGAGCACATGCCTGTCGTAGATGAGGCATTTGGTTAGATCCCCAGCACCAAACACACCCCACGGGAGTTAGTGTTTTTCATAGCCCTGCCTCTTACGGAGTCTGGATGATAGGACTATGCCAAGTGTTTGCTGGATGATTCGATGCCCTCTCTGCGCTCAGACAACGAAACTGGCTCTTATGAGCTGTGCTCCCAGCTACTCCCTAAGAGCAGACCACACCCCGTGATCTGAAGCCACCCGACACTTCCTCTCTTTGGGGGCATCCTCAGCTTCATTTTACAGATGGAGAACCTGATTCACAGAGGGCTGGGGAAGCAGCTGGAACCCATTCCTTCTTAGCAGCTACTGCTTCTTAGCAGCACCCTCGGTGCCTTTTCCACGCCGCCTTTGATCCTTTTAATTATCCTCTGGAGGTAGAAAAACATCAGTCTTTTCTAAATGCCTTGCAGGGTTGCCTGTTAAGATTTCACACTACCTTAGTTAGGGTCACTACTGCTGGAGGGAACGTCATGACCAAGAAGCAGGCTGGGGAGGAAAGGGTTCTTTGGCTCACACTTCCACATCACTCCTCATCATAGAAGGAAGTCAGGACAGGAGCTCAAACAGGGCAGGAACCTGAAGGCAGGAGCTGATGCAGAGGCCATGGAGGTGGGGGTGCTGCTTATTGGCTTGCTTTCTTCTAGAACACAGGTCATGAGCCGCAGGGATGGCACCACCCACAATGGGATGGGTCTTCCCCCCCACACACACATCAATTACTAATCAAGAAAATGACCTACATGTTTGGCTGCAGCCCAGTCTTATGAAGGCATCTTCTCAACTGAGGCTCCCTCCTCTCAGAACCTTGTGTCAAGTTTACATAAAAGTAGACAGCGCACACACACACACTTAACGGAGTTGAATATTAAGCAGTTATCTGGAAGATTTAACAAGTGAAGATAGGGTAGGCATTAAGACAATACCAGGGAGAAGTTAAACGCATATGTATGAAGCTCTGTGTTTAATCCCTAGCAGCAGCACCCAAAAGAAACGGTGTAGCTATGGGATTTGAATCCCAGCTCTCATACTAAGCAACCATGTCACCCTTCACAGAAACTTGACCTTCCTGATTTCATCTGTAAAATGGGGCAGTTAATAAAAAGTACCTACTTCACAGGCTTATGGGAAAGCCCATCCATACAATGCCTGCCTGGTGCGTAGGGAAATCTCTGTGACTTTGCCTGCCACTGTCTTTACTCCCAGCCCCCAGCATCTTCCGCCCCCTACCCTGTTCCGTGCTGGTGTGCTTGCCTACCGCTTTCTCATTTAAAGTTCACTTTTCCTTCTAAGCGCAGGTTGGGCGCAGGTAGACGGCACTGTATCTCACCTATTCACTGGTTTGGTTTGGTTTGCCGTGAACAGGAAACTACAAATAAACCCCAAAGCACTGCCCCCGAGCAGTCTCTCCCTGTCAACTGTGTTTCTGAGCTGAGGAAGAGAAGTCCATCCATTGTCACCTCCAACCAAGGAAGAGTGCTACAGAAGGCCAAGGTAAACCCAGAAGGAGCTCAGCTAATGGCGACTCACTGGTCTGGATCTTTTTATACAGGACCCATCCCAAAATCCAGAATGCCACCTAGAGAGAAAGGTGGGGAGCTGCTGGTGCAGCCATGCAATAAAGTCAGAAGACTCCTTGCCCTGCATTAACATGGTTCTAACAAGATGCCATCTAGCATTTCTAGGTAGTGAGGAGACAAGATCAGGGGTAATACCTAGCCAAGGCTAAGCAAGAAAGCAACACAAAGACACAGAGGCTCGGGGCTCACTATATGATGCTGGTTCTTTACCTCTTCGTATAATTCTTGGGGACAGCTGTTAAGAACATTTTGATGGGCTGGAGAGATGGCTCAGAGGTTAAGAGCATTGCCTGCTATTCCAAAGGTCCTGAGTTCAATTCCCGGCAACCACATGGTGGCTCACAACCATCTGTAATGAGGCCTGGTGCCCTCTTCTGGCCTGCAGGCATACACACAGACAGAATATTGTATACATAATAAATAATTTAAAAAAAAAAAAAAGAACATTTTGAGCTTTAGAAAGGTATGTATTGGAAACACTGCAACACATTTTTCAAGCATATGAGTAACATGTACAGCATAGAGTAGAAAATGCCTTGTATCAGACCACATTAGGCTTTGCCACCAAATGAGCTTGTGCCAAAACACCTAGAAAGTATGCCTGTTTCAGGGTTTTCTGGATTTCAGAATACACAGGTAAAACGGTGTAGAACTGAAAAACAAATTCAGCGTTGAACACGGTGGTGCACGCCTACAATCCTAGCACCTGAACCTGAGGCAGGGGGATCTAGACCAGCCTGGATGAGATAGTGAGACCCTATCCCCCCCCCAGAAAAAGATAGCCAGCTCAGCCAGTGTGCCCAGTAAGCCGCTGCAAAAGCTACCACTGACATCTGCCTGGGCAGTGTGATCTAGAAGTACCCAACCTTACTAAGAAATGTGGAGACCAAGGGGTTTCCTCTTCTTTAAGATGAAAGGCTACACAGCGAGGAACCCAAACCAGCCTTTCTTTCTCTTGGGGACTTGGGAAGATATGACTTCACATGCATACATACATGAAGACTGTGATGCCAGGTCATAGTAAGTACTGTGAAGTAAAATAAGGCAGAGGAAGAGAAGAAGGGTGACAAGCGACTGGGGTGGCTATTTTCACCATTGATAGTCAGTGCCTTTGCAGAGGGTCATACACAAGCCATATACATATACATATACATATACATATACATATACATATACATATACATATACATATACCAGGGGAGAGTGTGAGGAAACCAAAGAGGGCTGGAGGGACGAGTAATCCAGAAAGAAAGGAGCGTGTCCCAAGTCCTCCCTTATTTGTGGACAAGCAGGCGGAAGGGTGAACACTAAGAGTGAAAGACAAACGCTGGGCAGTGGTGGCGCACGCCTTTAATCCCAGCACTTTAATCCCAGGCAGAGGCAGGCGGATCTCTGTGAGTTCAAGATCAGCCTGGTCTACAGAGCTAGTTCCAGGACAGCCAAGGCCACACAGAGAAGCCTTGTCTCGAAAATAAAACAAACAAACAAACAAACAAAAAAGACACGTGTTCTTGCAGAGGACTGGGGTTCAATTCCCAGCACCCACCTGGTGGCTTACAACCATCTGTAACTCCAGGGATCTGACACTCTCTTCTGAGCAGGCACACATATGGTGCACAGACATACAGGCAAAACATGCATATACATACAATAAACAAATCAACAAAATTTTAAAAAAAAAAATCTGACTAGGTATGTAATCCCAGCACTTTGGGGGATCGCTGTGAATTTGAGGCCAGCCTGATCTATATATAGTGAGACCTTGTCACCACTACCACACAACAGAAGGCTATCCTGACTACTCTGCTGGGAATGGAGAAAGGGACTAAAGGTCACAGACACTGAGGAGCAGGGCCCCGTGGTCTCTGGCCTGGCCAGTGGAGCTAGTCAAACTGATTACAGTAAGTGCTCTAACCTACAGTCCCACTAGAACCTCAACAACTAACTTTTCCCCATCTTTCTGTTCTTTAGGAATGGGAGATGAAGAAGACCTAGGAAGGGTGAGAAGTCCATCCTGAAGGAGTATCAGCTTGTCCATCTAATGGGGAAATGCTTTCTTCACAAAGACATCAGGAAAAGACCCGAAGCACCCAGAAGATCAGCTTGGTCGTCTGCATGATTTTAGGGACTGTGGGAAGGGAGAAGGGGGAAAGCATCCTTCTGGCTTTACAGAGGGTGGAGGTGGGAGTGGTGGGAGATAGACTCGTTCGTTCGCCGTTGTAAAGGCTTTGTTAGGTCTCTCTGCCTTCTGAAGCAATGAAAGCACATGTGAATAAGCCATCCCATCCTTTCTCAGCATCCGTCCCTGTCCTTAAGGCAAAGGAAGACAGCACTGAAGCACTGGTAGTGTCATGATGAAGAAGACGCCCCATCACCTGAAAACACTTAAGGAGACTGCATTTCTATTGGGCCTTACAGATGACCTCTGAGCAGGGGTAATGGACTGGAAAGTCGCTATATCCCTGTGTGCACAACAGTGAACAAAAGCTATTAAGAACCTAAAAATTCCACAGTCACCCAGTGGTGGTGCCACACGCCTTTATTCTCAGCACTTGGAAGGCAGAGACAGGCAGATCTCTGTGAGTTCGAGGCCAGCCTGGTCTACTGAGTGAGTCCCAGGATAGCTAGGGCTGTTACACAGGGAAACCCTGTCTCGAAAAAATAGAAGAAAAAATATTTCAGTCATTCTTCATCTGTTTTATAGCCTGGCAAAGTATAGCCACTAAAACCTTCCATGTTTGAGCATTTTAAAATCATGAGTATTCAGAGAGTAAAGAAAGTTGAACATCTGGCCTATTGTAAAGTTGTAGAAGTATGGAGTTCAAATGCCCACATACTGTTGCATTCTTTGGAGGATGGAGTTATTTGCTGTCAGTCAAGTCCTTACCTATTTAATGTGACACCAAGGCCCCTGGGTTTATGGTTGGAAGACTAAGTCTTCAGCCTAATGAAGTCTTTATCTTGTACTAGGAGGCCCACAAGTCTGGCTCTGTATCTGCTGTGACGTGAAACTATTGAGGAAAGCCAACAGGATGATGGCTCGCTTCTGCTCACCATGAGGGTGCTAAGCCTCTCCCAAACACTTGATATTTGTATAGGACCTCAAGTCCTAGCATTGTCTTTTCTATGCCGTTCATGACTGTCTCAACACTGGGCGTTTGGGTCGATTTTTAACATATTCATCTCCAATAAAGATGAAAATGCTCAACTCTGAGAGGTCGGAAGATAGCTGACAATTGGGGGGTTAGAGGAAAGATGTGTGTCTCAGAATAACCAGTTGGCTAGTCTTGGTGTGTTACCCACCTAAGGTTTACATACTTCAGCCTCATTGAAACCTTGCCAGCCTTTGCAGTAGCTTGAGACCAGAGCAGGAAAATCAATCACCTCACTGGTAGGACAGACACATTGGGGTCATGGTCCTGGATCCAGATAGGGCAGATTGCTGCTAACTGAAGGATAATCTCTTCGAACCCTCCCTCCCCCCGCCCCGGCTCTCATGAGAACAGGCTAAGTGATTGTACTCTCCTCCCAAGAATCCTGGTGGGTATCTAATGAGACAATTCATGAGAAGCATCTTCTATATTGTTTAAGGTTAGAAATACTCAAGTCAGAAGAGGATTTTAGTATCAGCTAGTTGAGAAAGGTCTGACTCAAAAACCTTTGTTCTTTCTGTTAAAGAAAAAGTGATTTATCAGATAGTTACAGCTACCAAAAGGCATCCAATCCAAAGGGAGGGCTTTCATTCCAAACTGCACTTCGGTGTCTTCAGTGACTAACAGCCCACATTTGCCAGTGCGCATGTTAAGATGGATATTCTGCAATGGTGCCCACCACTGTGTCTTAAGAATCTGTCCCACTCTTTCTTAGGCAGCTATTTTAAGGTTAAATTCCTTTTTCAAGAGTAAATCTTGGGCTCAAAGAAGGAAGGGCCCCGCATCATTAATCATTAACACACATGAGGACACGCCACCTGTCAGGCACCAACAGCCTGTGTCACCTGAGGCCCATGCCCAGGGCACACCTAGTGCTCACCTTGACATTCGACAGCTGCCTTCTTGAAAATGTTTCTTCTCATTTTCAACAAGAGGTTCTGTATTTTGTTCTTGTCTTTTAAATAATGTAGCCAGAATCCAGCAAGATAACTCGGGGTATCAGGGAGCTTATTGCCAAGCCTGGGGACCCGAGTTTGACCTCAAAACCCATATGATGAAAGGATGGAACCAACTCCCATAAGTCACCCTCTGACCGCCACACAAACACTGGCACTCATAAACACACACACACACACACACACACACACACACACACACACACACACCACACTAAATGTAAAAATATTTTTAAGATAGTGTAGCCAGCTCTGATATTTATTGCCTTTCTAAGCATTATGCCTGTACTTTACACTAAGATTCTGTGAGATCAGTCAAAATAATTTTTTTTTTTTGCAGTTTCATGTAATTCTAGAATCCTTATTTCTTAACTCCAAATCTTTTGCCTCTTCTGTGGCTCTCCATTCAGAAGCACACTTGCCTTGCACCTAATAAATATATGAATAAAAGCCAAATACAAGGTAGCCTGGTTTACATAGCAAGTTTTAGGTCAATCAAGACCTAAAAACACTGTTTTAAAAATGCACATATGCACACAAACATATGTACATGAGTAAATGGATACATATGTGTCTCCATGTGTGTACATGTGGTCTGAGTTGTCTAGCTAAAAGAACTGTGAGCAAACCGCTAAAGCGGACACCAGCTCTTGTACTTGGTTGTTAAAATGCCTTCTCAGACCATAGTTCTGAGAGGAACTTAATGTTCCAGCCTTCCCAACACTGAAGTGTTAGATTCTTCATGTCCCTCATCCTCCCTGGAGAGAGCCTTACACTGTTCAGAGTCTCAAGTGTCTTATCTGAAGGGCTCATAACCTCCCCACCAAAACTGCATTCTCATAGAGCACCACATGAAGACGACAATGGTGTTGGCTGTCACATCTAAGATCAAAGGTACAGAAGACTTGTCTCTGTCCTCATGGAAGCCATGAACTGGCAGAGGACAAAGTCTGACCCAAGTTGCTAGAGCAGAAGTAAGCTATATTTTGGTAAGGATTCAGAGTGCTGAAGGAACATGTCCCATTCCTCCTTAAAACTTTTTATCATTTTAACCTTAAGGTCTACTCAGGAATTAAGCTTGAAACTGCAATCACAAGTTCATTTTCACACTCAGACACCTCTTCATCCAGAACCACTATTCTTTTTTTTAAAAGAAGGGTCACATTAATCCCAGAACTCAGGTGGATCTGAGTTTGAGGTCAGCCTGGTCTACAGAGCTAATTCCAGGACAGCCAGGGCTACACAGAGAAATCCTGTCTGGTCTGGGGGTGGTGAGGGTTTCTCATGTATCTCTGACTGGCCTATTCTATTTGATGTGTAGGTCTGGCAGGCCTCAAACTGACAGAGATTTGCCTGCTGCTGTCTTCCAAGTACTGGGATTAAAGTTGTGCACCACTACACCCAGCAAAGCCCTGAAATATATCTACATTTTGGGCTTGCAAAATGGCTCCCCAGATAAAGGGGGTTTACCACCAAGCCTGATGACCTAAATTCAATTCCCAGGACCTATACAGTGGAAAGACAAAGACTATTGCAAATGGTCCTCAGACTACATGTATTCATGTGTATACCCATATACATACATACACATGTAAAAAAATAAAATTTACCCACATCTTCACTGACATCATCCAACTTCATTAATTCATTTTGCAAGTATTTATTGGTCAGGGAAAAAAACAGTGATCATGACACACCACAAAACTAAAACTCTACATTGCAGAAAAAAAGCAAGACAAAATACTAAGAAAATAGGAAGTAAGCACAGAGACTTACACCAGCTAGTTAGATTTCTCTGTAACTACACTGTCTATGGTGATAGGGGGTGAGATGGCAAACCCACCTCTGAAGATGGTGAAGTACGAGCTCGGGGCTTCATGTAAGACCCTCTGTTAACAACCATAGTAAAAACATTCTGTCCTCTCTTGCCAGGGCTATTCCAACAATTCCTCTTCTCTACCTCTTTTTACACTCTTCAATTTTCTCTGAATGGCAAAGGGACTTTTTTTTCTCCAGTACGTCTGGCATGTGGAGGCATTCACTCTGAGCTGTATCCCCAGCTCTCTTGTATTGAGACCGCCTCACTAAGGTACCCCAGCTGGACTTGATCTTGTGATCTTCTTGCCTTAGCCCGGAGTGGCTGGGATTACAGGCCTGAGTCATACCTGTTGTCGAACTACTGCAACCAAAATCAGGCAACAAAATATAGCTCTGCCCTGGAAGCACTTAGATTTTACTAAGCAGAAACAACTCAACACACAGTTAAGTCAGAAAACTATCGTCGAAAGAAAAATCGTGAGAGTGACTGGGGAAGGTGCAACCAGGCTGCAGTATTTACTCGCTCACTAGACCGGTTTAAGCCAGTTCTCCAGTCTGAAGTTATCACACGCTCTCACGGGATTTCATCTTTTGCTTTCAATACTCTCCCTCGTCACTGGCTTTCTTTACGGCTATAGTCTAGTCTTTTACAGTTTTGTACGGGCGTGTATTTATTTCGGCGCGTACATGACTGGGCCCGGAATGAAGTCAGAGAAGAAGCTGACGAATTCTTTTTTTTTTCTTCCAGTGGGTCCCAGGATCGAACTCGGGTTGTTGAGACTTGGCAGTCAGCGCCTCCGTCCGCTGAGCCATCTCGTTGGCCTCGGTTCACAGCGCGTGCCCCTCGCGTTTAGGCATTGGTCACATTTTACATTTATTGCCTGTCATTTCATATACGCTCCTCGAGGATGAGGTGAGAGCCGCCTCGCTCACCGTGAACTTGGCACCTACTATGAACCTCTTGGGACAAGCATCCACCTCACCAACTCAACCCCGAAAGCCCAGATTGCGGAGCCCAGTCCGGAAGAGCAGTGTGGCGCACAGGAAACCGGAAGCCCCTGCCTACACCGGGGGAGGGGCGTGGCTTTCCGGAGAGCGCGTCTCTCCGCTTGACTCGAGCACGCGTGCGCGGTTCCGACGTTCCGGTCTGAAACATGGCGGCGCGGTCGTTGTGGGCGGTGCAGCGGCTGCAGCGCCTCCTGGCCTCCGGGCTTGTGTCAGAGAGCGGGTAAGCGGGGCGTCGGGGCCGGGCAGGCCGTGGCGTGGGCGCGGCGATGGGCAGCTGTGGGAAGGAAGGCGAGGGCTAACTCGGCGCTAGCGAGGACCGGCCGCAGGCCCCATGACCCGGCGTCCACGCCGCGTCTCTAGGAAGGGAGGCTGAGGCCCATCGGCGCGCTTTTCCCGGTCAGGGAAGATAAATGCATCCGAGGCCACGTCCTGGGAGGTAGAAGCCAAGCAGTACTGAATCGGAAACGTAACTCGTCCCTAGCCTCTGCTCGCCTCTGTCTTCCAAGGATGTAGTGGGGTTCTTAGCCAGACTCCATGTGGTCCAGTCACTCTCCAGCTCTCGGGAGCATCGTTTTACTTGTGTGTAAAAGGAGAGCCGTGGCTCATTCCCCAAACGCCCCTTCCACCACTCTTAGGGGTACTGTGAAATTCGTGCCGTCAGTGGCCTGCAGAACTATGGGTAGTCGCTTTTTATTATTTCGTGTTTACTAACTTGAGGAATCTAGAATTTAGGAAAGTTTACTAACTTTTCCAAACAAACCTTAAGGAAGTTACCTCGCCTAGAAACCAGTCGTGGTTCTGGAACAGGTGTTTTTGTATTAGTGAACACGGTTCATTATTCTCAGGGGATATTCCTGAGAACGGATTTCTTTTTAAAGGCTGTCTATGAAGAGTTCGAGAATTCTGACTTGTAAATTAGCTGCGGGGAAATCCAGGAAATTTGCGTGACCTTTTGTCATTCTTTTTCCGGTCTTGATGCACCTGATCTAATACACCCGCCCTACCAGAGTTGTGAGGCGTTGGGCGGGGTGGTTTGTTTTCTTTCCTACCTTTGGCAGTTTGTTGGGTGAGGTAAGGAAATAATCAGAGAATAGTTTCTTCTGAAGGAGTAATTGAGCATTGACCTCTTCTCTTCAAACTGACTGTTTTGACCAGCATTCTGTTTATCCAGGATAAATGTGGTTTTCCAGGAGGGCTGGTCTTTTTGGCCATGTATAATTTGCCCCTATGATAACTATATTTTCTGAACCAAATATTTAGAACCATGTGGATACATGGTTTAATTGGATATCAACCGTTAATAAAACTCAGGACCAACCTGTAAAGTCTGGGAAATGCCCTTGGATTGTGATGCCAAGCCAGCTCTTCCCTCTGCCCAAAGTTCTCTCCTTAAAGCAGACTCCTTTACTCCCCATCCCCTTAAGCCTTTGTTATAATTTCTACCATCTCAGTTATCACTGTCCATTTTATGTCTGTTCGTATAAGTAATGAACTATTTGCTTTAAAGAGCTCTTGAACCCACAGATTGATTAACCTTGTAGTTTTTCACTTGGAATAATTAAGAGGTCAGAACTGCCGCAGTTGAAGATCTGATCTAAACTAGGTCCAAGTCTACATTTCTGTGTAAACGAAACTAAATATCAAATATTTTCGTGATACCAAGAGCAAGGGCATTTTCCTCTGCCCATAGTAGCCAAGGGTGGGGTGTTTTTTTGTTTGTTTTATTGCAAGGTCAACTGGCAAGGAGGACAGAAACAGAAAGTTTACCTCTTTTCCTTGTCAATTGGTGGGGAAATTTATAGGCAGAGAGAGGCTGTTTCTAATTTAGGTGGTGAGAAGGAGAACAATCTAGGGTTCTTTTTTTTTTAAGATTTTATTTATTTATTGTGTATACAGTGTTCTGCCTCCATATATGCCTACGTGCCAGAAGAAGGCACCAGATCTCATTGCAGGTGGTTGTGATCCACCATGTGGTTGCTGGGAAGTGAACTCAGAACCTCTGGAAGAACAGCCAGTGCTCTTAACCGCTGAGCCATTTCTCCAGCTCCTCTTTTTGGTTTTTCGAGACAGGGTTTCTCTGTAGCTTTGGAGCCTGCCCTGGAACTAGCTCTTGTAGACCAGGCTGGCCTCGAACTCTACCTCCCGAGTGCTGGGATTAAAGGCGTGCGCCACCATCCGGCTATAATCTAGGGTTCTTTTGTGCCAGCATAGATGTCATCTTACCTCTTCATAAGTCATGTGCTTATTAGGGGGAGGTTATGTTTTGTGCTGAGGGTTTTGAGCTCATGATATTAAAATGTCATTTGCAAGCAGACTGGCTGTGGAACTGTTAACACTTCTTTTGTGGGAAGAAGTTTCAAGACAGGGTTTCTCTGTGTCATCCTGACTATCCTGGAACTCACTGTGTAGACCAGGCTGGTGTTGAACTCACAGAGATCCGCCTGCCTCTGCCTCCCAAGTGCTGGGATTAAAGGTGTGTGCCACCACCGCCTAGCCGGGACTGTCCCTTTTTAAAGTGCTCTCTGGCGGGTGGATGTTACTCATGTCTCTTCCTTTGGGAAACTGTGTGCATGTTTAATGCTGATACCTATTCTCAGTTTATGCCTCTGTTCACAAGGGAGGCTGCAGAACATAATATACTGCTCAATGGCGTTGCTGCATTTGCCATTTGGGTCTATCTACAGCATCTTTAAATGGAAAATGTTCCTACTTTCATGTCTTCTACATTAAAAGCATTTGTGCCCAACATAAAATGGCTCACAACACAAGTGTTTCTTACAACCCCCAAGGACAGCTATTGTAGAAAGATCCCAGAGATGTCTCAGACAACAGTTAGAAACACTAAAAGGGGAGCTCTACCGATTGTCTAAACAAGGCCTTGTTCACATTAAAATTTTTTAAGTAGATTACCTCACTGTAGAGTTGACACTGGCCACCACAGGACAGAGAAGTAAAACCTAAGGTGCTATGTGGAAAGATGTCATGACAGGAAAATGGTTTGGCCTGTGCTAATGTGGGGGTGAAGGTATGTTTGTGTTTTTCCTGATGGTGCAGAATAGCTACCTGGGTACCTTCGAGGCCTGTAAAGACCCGATCCACTGAAGAGCCTGGCTCCAGGTGTGAAGAGACTAGATCCCACAAAGAGTGGCTTTGTAGCACCTGAGGGCAAGAAGACAGACAGCCCAGAGTGGTGACACAGGGATGGAAGAGGCCAGAGGGTAAAGGGGGAAAAGGCACCTTTAATGCCTTCTGTTCTGGTGTTAGGCACTGTGGTGAACTGCCGCTGGACTAATAGTGAAGATTCATCCTGCACATCTGAGAAATAGGAAAGGGAGATGTAGGAAACAGAGGAAAACCCTGAATGGGTAAAGTCCTGTGTGAATGTTTGTGGTGACATGAACAGGCCATGTCAAAGACCCCAGAGCCTCAGGCCCATGGAGGAATGGCAAAGCCTCCCTCTAGGGGTTGGGTGTGAGTATTACCAGTGTGTGCAGAAAAATGTCCATGTAGCTTCTCCCCTCTGGATGTTTACAGTTTAAAGACTGTTCCTCTACAGAGACTATACCTACTAAGATTAACTAAACCTGTCCCCTTGATCTAACTGTATACCAGAAGCCCCGCCTCCTGATGGATCTGTATGTAATAACCCCACCTCCGTAGAGGTTGAACAACTCTGCTGATAAAATGCTGAGCTTCCAGAGTGCTGTGGTTTTTTCCAACAGTGAGCCTGGACCACCTGACCCCATCTTTCTGTCTATCTTCTTTATTCCCTCACTGCCCCAATGAGGTTCATTCCTGGTGGTAGGCTGGACATGACAGATTATAATAGCATTTGTTTTGTAGAAGCAGTATTATCATTCTAGTAGAAAAGAAAAAATCCAAACGTCTATCAGTTGACAAATGGGTAAAAAGGTGTGGCATATCTACACAGTGAGCTATTAGTAATAGAAAGTAACCAATTACTGGTAAATGCAGTTGGCGGGGTGCCTCACCCGTTCCCAATGAGAAAAACTTTTTTAGTGTACAGCTGTAGACTCTAGCTAAAACCCTGATCTGAAATATTTCGTGTAGGATTAGGCATTATCATAATCTTCAGACCATTTTGGTTCTTTTTATCCCCATGTCAAAGGAGATTTCCCAAAGCTAAGCAGGTTTTACTGAAGCTGAGATTTGCAAGTTTCTAGTTAAGACAGTTTTATCTTTAGCTAACATCTGTCTAATCAGTTATTGGTGATGGTTGCTTCTCAGGGGAGAAGAGCAGATGTGATCCTTTTGGGGCTAAGACGGAGAAGCCAGCAGTTTAGTTTTAGCTCCTGTGTTTCGGGGAGAGTCCTTTATGTTCTTTTCTTATTCCTCTGTTACCTAATATTTCCTGTTTGTCAGTTAATTCATTCTAGTCCTATTCCTTTTAATTAAAAAAAAACTTGTTGGTATTTTTCTCTTATCACAATTACATGAATGAACCTGAAACACATTCTAAGTGAAAAACTGCTTCTAAGTGATCATCTATTATGATTCTGTTGACATTAAGCATCCATAAAAGACTTGTCTATAGAAAACAAAATATTAATCAGGTTTACCTGGGGCAAACAATGTAGGAGGCAATGGTAAATGATGTGTGAAATACAAGCCCTTTTATGTGCCAAAGATGTTCTGAAATTGTGATTTCACACACAGACTCTGGACATGGTAAAAATGTTGAATTGTACATTCTAAATGCTAAATTGTGTGGCATGACAACTGCATATCGTTAAAACTTTAAATGTATGGGAGTTTTCCCTGCATTATGGCTGCTCCAACTGCGCACCTGCTGCCCACAGAAGGCATTAGATCTCCAAGAACTGGAGTTACAGGTGATTGTGAGTTGCCACTGCTTAGATGCTTGGAGTTGAATCCAGGTCTTCTAGAAGAGCAGTCAGTGCTCTTAACTGCTGAGCCGCTTTTCTTCCTTTAATGGTACTTTTAAGAGCACTTTAAAATCTAGTCAATAAAAACGTGAGGGGGATGAAGCAGAAAAAAAGCTTATAGGACTTCGTAGCATCTGTCACCAAGACTAAAGACTATGAAGAGTCAGCGTGGGGTGCTTTGGGGGCTCTAACTGTTGTTGTTTGCCTTTGTATGGTGGCATTTTTTCATTGTGTGCCACTGCCCTACCCCACCCTCTTAGGGGATGGCTACACCCATTCAGCACTGCCACCCAAAGAACTGCTGGGGAAGACTGCAGTTCTGAGGACCCTCCTGATGTACTCGGTCCCTCCCTTGCTGAACAAGCCTTAAGGCTAAAAGCTGTTAAACTGGAAAAAGAAGTCCAGGATTTAACAGTGAGTAATAGATTTTATATTATTTGTTATTTATTATCTTTTCTGGTTTAAATGTTCAAGCAAAATTTTTTGTGTATTTTGTTTTTTTAAATGAACTTTCCTTTAAAATGGTTCTTTACCCCTCTTCTTCCACTACTCTCTTGCTGGGCCTATTTAAAAAAAAAAAAGTCTGGTTTTTAAAAGCCACTTACTAAGGGTGGGGCCTTGTTTTGCTTCCCTCTTGTCTCCCAGCACTTTAGATAACTGATTGGTTTGGCAGTTAAAGGTGGTGTGGTGCCTGTCAGGTGATGGAGAATAAATATTTGCTGGGTGTGTGAAGTCTTTGTACTCTGGTAAGCAGAGAACATCTGACCTACTGGACATAGTTGTGATTGAGCACTGTGAGAAGAGATAGCTGAAGCAGAGTAATTACGAGGCAGAGTAAAGCCCCTCAGGACTGCAGGGTGCTGGGAAGCATGTCTACTGAGAGCAATTAAAGAACCCAGGAACTAAAGAGAAAAGAGGAACAAACAGGATGAGTTAACTGCCTTGAAATAGGTGATAGGTTTTGGTTTTTTGTTTGTGTGTTTGTTTGTTTTGTTTTTAAGATTTATGTTATGTAAATGTTATGTTCTGTCTGCATGTTTGCTTACACGCCAGAAGGCATCAGATCTCACATTACAGATGGTTGTGAGCCACCATGTCGTTGCTGGGATTTAAACTCGCGACCTCTAGAAGAGCAGTCAATGCTCTTAACATCTGAGTCATCTTTCCAGTCGCAGTGATGAGTTATTAAAACTTATTCTCTGTCATGTGAGAGTTCGGGTCCATGAAAGAAAGGTTGGCAGTGTTGCCTAAATGTGAAACTGTTTGCTCTGGATAATGAACTTGAAAACTGATGTGTTCAAGCTAGTTGTAATTACTTACAAGCTACTGAAGAGTAAATAGAAAGGATGAGATTTATAAAGTAAAAGTATTCTTTCCCAATGACTTCTCATCCTTTGATTTTGCTTTTGTCATTTAGCTAAGATACCAGAGAGCTGTTGCTGATTGTGAAAACATAAGGAGACGAACCCAGAGATGTGTGGAAGACGCCAAGATATTTGGTGAGAGATGATTCATAATAGAGTAAATTTAGTTGAAGGGCATGTACCTTTGTAAGCACTTTTGTAAACTAATTGTGGTAGAAATGCATCTGAGACCCCTAACTGATACATTCCATACCTCCCACTCTCCCCACAGGCTTTCTCTGCTGCACATGGAAGTGATGTCATGTTAACCATTGTATAATAATGCCGGCCTTTATTTTTCTAAGGATGTACAGGTGCTACATTTCCAACATTCTAGTGTGTATACAAATAATATTTTTTAGTCATTGATGAAGCAGTGAATCATTGCGACATTCAAGAGGAAAATCCAAAGAGCAGTACATGAACAGGAATGCTAAAGTTTGTGTGATGTAAGCAGCATTGGTCTGTATGCACAGGGAAAGTCCATACTACTGTGGACAAGAATCCTTTATTGCTATCAGTGCTCTGCAAGTCAGTTCTTTATAGAACAGCTAAAACTTGAATGTGTGTGTTCGAGCACTTGTGCACATGTGTGCATGTGTATCCAAGTCTATAACAAAGCTCCACAGATCATAGCCAGCCGCCAGGTAGTAGTTTTGAATTTCATGATTTTTTAAAAATTCATATGAACTTATTTTCTCTTTATTTACAAAACATAGTTTTTTTACTTTTGCCTCTTGTCCCACAAATCTTAAAATACTTGCTGTGTGGCCTTTTACAGAAGAAAGTTGTTGGCTGCTGAGCTGTGGAAATGTCTTGTTCCAAGTAGAACAGTTTTAGCAGTGGGGGAACTTCTAATGTCCGACTGCTTGATGAGTCAGATGGATGGACACTAGAAGTCAGGCATTGAGGTAGCACTAGTTTACTATGAGTTTATTCAGGAAGACGCTTGGGAATGAATTCATGTTAACTAACTGCCGAAGAGTTTGGTAGTTTTCCAGTTTATTGACTTAAAGCAATATGTCTTGCCAAGGACACTACAGAAATCATTTGCCTGTGGAGTTTCCTCCTAGTGGCCAGAGATACTTAGGAAACTGAAGGGGTTGAGATGAGCATGGAGGGAGAAGGAAAGTATAATTTTCTTTTGGTTTATGTCTTTTGAGTCAAGGTCTCTCTATGTAACCCTTACTAACCTGGAACTCTGTATAGATCAGGCTGGCCTCAAATTCACAGAAATTCCTGCCTCTGCCTCCCAAGTGCTAGAATTAAAGGCATAAGCTACCACACCTGGTAGAAAGTATGCTTTTTAACTAATCTGTCATGTTAACTATCTGACCTCCTTGCAAGCATAGTTTTAACTCAGTAGTTAAATTGGGACTTGGGAGATGGTTCAGTGGATAAAGTAATTATTTTACAAACATGAAGTCCTGAGTTGGGATACCCAGAATTCATGTGGGGAAAAAGTCAGGTATGTGACTAACTCCAGTGCTGGGGTAGGGAGGAGACAGGCAACTCACTGGACTCTCAGTTTGGCTGAAATGTCTAGTTTTGTGTCCAGTAAGAGTCTTCATCTAAAAAAACTAGAGCAAAATATCCAACGTTGACCTATGACTCCCACCTGGGTGCACGTAGAGGCAAGCATATGCATACATCACACACAAAATAGTCATAATACAATAATGAGAACGCAGTCAGAAACTGCTCTTCGGTGTTCCAACAAGAACTTGGGCTTCTGTTTAGCCAAATTTCCACTACTTCACTCATTTAGAAGCAAAGTCTCCCCTGGCAGTATGCAGATCAGCACAGAAGCTTGCTGCTTTAAAACTTCTACTGGACAGCTGAGAATGTAGCTCAGTGGCAGAACCATGGGCTTGGGCTTAATTCCCCAACACAAAAAACCAGCGTCTGCTCTCAATCGGGGCTTGTTTCCTGGAAACACCTTTCCTGCCTCCTCTCCTTCCCTGATCTAGATGATGCCACGTTTCCTTGCTTGACACTGGCACTTTTTTATTTTCCTTGTGAGCCCATCTGCATGCCTGTAAGTCAGTGGGCATGTTGATAGTATGCTGCTGTTGGGCTGATGTGCCCTGTTTTCCTCAAGAAATTCTACTAGTAGAGTCTGGTGCCCTGGGAAGTTAAAAGTAGAATTCCTTCCTCTCCTTTGGTCTGCCGCATCTGGTCAGTTTTCTCAGGTCTACCTGTCAGTGTTTTTTATTGCTTGCCTGTGACTAGTCTAGGTGGCTGCCCACCTTGGCATAGCAATAAACATGTCAATAGATAAGTCTACTCTTTACCAGCCCTTGCTGGGCGTTATGCCATGGATGTCCAGTGGTGACCATTCCTTATCCCAATCAGAGTGGGAACACTGGGAACTTGCAACAACTGGCTTTACTTTCAACTTGGAACAGTTCACTTGCTCTAAAAGGTTTCTGTGGACCTTTCCCAAGTCTCCCTAACAGGCCTCACCTCGTCTGTAAGTGTGCCTCACCTTCCTATCTAGGTAACCACGAACAAGTGGCTCTCGCCATCCTTAGCATAGTGTTGGCTTTTCTTATTTTGTGTTCTCCACCCTCACCCTCCCAATGAAATATTCCTAGCTTATCTTCTTGAGAGTGGCCTTTGCACAACTAAGATAAGCCTGTTTTTAGTCTATTTTATATAGGTGTATGTAGCCCAAGTTGTATCTCTTCCCAGTTTCCCAGTAGACAGACAGACACAATTTGCAAAAACTGACTCTGACTTGTCAATTGAGATTGGATGGTTAAGCTGATCCCCAAGTCCTGCATAGCAACCTTCCCACTCTCAGAAATACTAAGTGTGGAGTGTACTAGCTACCTCTTTGCCTACTCCAGGTTCTACCCCTAAGGACAGCGTTGTTCTCAGACTTGGATCTGTTTTCTCTGCAGGAATCCAGAGCTTCTGTAAGGACTTGGTGGAGGTGGCAGACATTTTGGAGAAGACTGCTGAGTGCTTTTCAGAAGGAACCAAACCTGAGGACCACAAGCTTACTCTGGAAAAAGTCTTTCAAGGACTGTCCCTTTTAGAAGCAAAGCTGAAGAGCGTGTTTGCCAAACATGGCCTAGAGAAAATGACACCGATTGGTGACAAATATGACCCTCATGAGCATGAACTCATATGTCACATGCCAGCAGGTGTTGGGGTACAGCCTGGCACTGTGGCATTAGTACGGCAAGATGGCTACAAACTCCATGGCCGCACCATTAGACTTGCCCAAGTGGAAGTGGCAGTGGAGTCTCAGAGAAGGCTATAAACAAGCCCCCAGGAACTAACTCTCGCAGGTTCTGGCACCTGTGTCTCCTTTATTTATTAAGCTGATTTGTATTATACATGAGGTCCTTCGTGTGCTCCACTTTGGATTTAGTCATATTGGCTTTATCTCTACAGTATCTTATTGGTTTATGTGGCCTGTTTGGTCTCATCAGAAATCCTGCCACTGGGCATTTGAACAATGTGACGAGTGTCCTATGGCCTTTTTCAAAATGTTTACAAAAACATTAAGTTGGTACTCTGATGACTGAATCCAAAATCCCTTAATTGTGTTTTCAACTAATTTCTGGAATTAGTGCAGCATCGTGTGTCTTATATTTTATGGGAAAGGGAGATGGTAGGGATTGGTGTGACTTTTAGGTACTTAGATTGACAAAGCTTTACCCTTGTATAAATTTAGATCATTTGGGTTGACATATAGAGAGAGTTTTCAAGACTTTTTTATTTCATTTTTTGTGTAGTCATCTTTTTTTACTTGTAATCCCTGCTAGGGGTCACCCATTGTTCCGTAGCTGCCCCTTTCTCATCCCTTTTGGAAGGGCTAAAGGGTCGGTCGGGCCAGTCTTCCTTTTTTCTTGTTTATAAGGTGTGCTCATTTACTAAACTGATCTCAAGTCTATGAACAGGTAAGCTCTGGCTGCCTTGACAACACAACCCACTCCCAGGGAGACCAAAAGCCTCCATAAATCTCAAGTTGGAGAGTCCATCATGGGAGGCCAAGCATAGTAGCGGACTGTTCAAAATTAAAAATAAAGTATTAGGGTGGATAGGTTTTTTTTTGCAATATGTAATTTACACAAAAGTAATGCTGCTGTCTCATCTCACTTGCATGCACTCTGATGAACTGGACCATCCTCCTTTCTGGATTAGGGTGGGGTGCTTCTCTGGAGAGGACAAGGGACTTCCTGTAGCAACAACAAAAATGCGAAGTCTTCAGCTACATTGCAAAACTTTGGGGATGCTTAACCCGAATCAGCTGCTGTCATCTTCACCATTCCAGTTTTTAAATCCTGAATCAAAAGCACCAAAAATTTTATATATATATATATAATTGAGAAAAAGAACAAAGTTGTCTCGGGGTTTTTTTTCCATGCACATTTTGTCAAGAAAAGGTGTGAACACAGCTCCGTCATTGTCCACCTAGAATCATCTGCAGTGCATGAAGGAAGGGCCGTATTCCTTCTATTCCTCCTTGCTGAACCATTTCTGCTGGAAGGTAGACAGTAGGCCATGATGGAACTGCCCATCCACATGGAGTACTTGCACTTGGGGAGAATGGCGTTGATCTTCACGGTACTAGGAGCCAGAGCAGTGATCTGTATCCTATTGTAGTCGATGCCTGGGTACATGGTGGTACATGCAGACAGCACTGCGTTGGCATAGACGTCTTTGCTCATATTGACATCACACTTGATGACAGAACTGAAGATAAGTTCATGGACACCATAATAGTCCACACCCAGAAAGGAAGGCTGGAAGATAGAAGAGCACCTGGGGGCAGCAGAATTGATCCTTGCTAATAATGATAACCTGGCTGTCGGGCATAACTCTTCTCCAGGAAAAGGATGCAGCAGCAGGCATGCCTTCCTGGAAGTCCAGGGCAAAATGGCACAACTTTGTGATATTAGATCAGTTTCCTGCTTGGCTATGATGAGGTTGTAGCCATGTTTATTCTGAAACTTCATGGGTAGGTCCTGTAGCTGGGCACTGTTGGGGGTGCCTGTGTGTAGAATCCATCATGAAGAATAGTTCCTGTAGATGAGCACTGTGTATGTGTGTCCGTCCGTCTGTCTCTGGAGTCAATCATGAGGAAGGTGATACCATCAGAATTGTACAGACAGCACAGCCTTGGTGGCTGTGTGAATGAGTGGAGTGTTGATGATCTTGAACGTATCTGGGTTGTCTTTTCATGGCTGGTCTGGGGTTAAGGGAACCTTGGTAAGCAGCAAGTGCTCTTCCAGGGCCACACTTGGTTCATTGTATAAGATGCAGTATCATCTCTGTTATCCAAGTTGGTGACAGTACCACTCTCCATAAATACCTGAGCATCAGGATGCTTTCGGTCTGGACCTTGTTGCCCATATAGGAGACCTACTGGTCCATGTCCACCATCACACCCCAGTTTGGTGGATAAAACACCATAGAAGCAAGAGAGCCTTGGATGCATCCTCGCCTATGTAGCCAGCTTTGTACATGCTGGGGTCAGTGTAGCAGTATCTGCTTCCATGGCAAATGGTAGCTGGTCGAGACTCAGCAGCAGAGAGACCTGTGTGTGTCAGGTGAGTGTGGGTTCTACAGATCCTCTTCCTTTATAAGCAGTTATATTCAGCCCCTTGGGTATGAAGTAATTTTAGACAGGCAATACCAGTGGCAAAAGACCTAAACATGACTGTATAGGTAATTACCTACAATGGTTGGTTCCACCAACCCTTACTCCTGCCCTTTGTCAAATTTGCCCTGGGAACTTATATTAGATTGTCTAGGGAAGTAATGGACAAAATGCTGGACTCCCAGGAATTTCTCATCCAGTAGTGCTGAGGTATGCCTCTTTTCCTTTGTGGTTGAGATTGACAAATTACTACTTCTCACATCAACAAACTTAATTTGTGTTTTTAGCAGTGGGGATTGAATGCAAGGTCTCCAAGAATGCTAGGTAAGCACGGCAGCTGAGCTCTGCTCCCAGCCCTGGCAAGCTTTGTTTCCTAGTTCTTAAATCCACCTTAAGCCATATTTGTTTGAACATCTATCTCCTCTTTTATGTATTAACCTTGTAGATTTTATGAACCTGTATATTTTTTTTTAACATCTTAGCTGATGCTGTATAAAAGATTTTACTAAGTTAGCCAAAGGAGCACTAAGGTTCTCCTAACAACCCTGCCAGGCAGGCGGGATAGCCTTGGTTAACAACTGCCTGGGAAAAGCAGTGCTGGCCTGTCTTGGGATAACCTTGACAATATTTTATATTGTAAATTTCCCCATTTGTCCAAACAACCACACCTTGTCATTCCTGGCTCTGAAATGTGGTTAATGACTCGAAGTATACCTTGGAGCCAGGAAACTATAGGCTGCCAGGGATTTCTGTTCAGGGCTGGCTCTCTTTCGTGCATTAGCCAGAAGCAGTCGCCTACTGACCTGCAGGTTTTCTTTTTACTCATGTAGTGGTGGAGTGAATTCTCGTGGGAAGGCCTTTCAATTCTGTAACATAACGTTACCCTTCCTGCTGTTTCCGAAGCTCAAAAATGTAGTCGGTTTTAGGACAAACTCAAGAGGCAGCCCTTCTAGATTCTTTGGACTGCCAATTAAACTGGCACAAACTGGATGAATGAGAGGAAAAGCAAATTTCATTGTCTATGTGAACACAAGAGTCGTGCAAAATCTGAGAGTCGGCCTCAGAAAACTGGTGCTTTGATCACATCCTGACCTCCAGAAGAGGCCTTCTGGAAGACAGAACTGTGATGAGTGTGGGTGGTCTCAGACGTCTGGAGAAACCCTTTGATACATAAAGCTGTCAGTGTGGATTTCCTTTTAACTACTGCATTAAAAAAAGTCTCTCAGCTACTCCCATGACTGCAGTTTCCCAAAATAACAGCACAATATATAGCAAGACTATTTTGGGGTAGCATATTCTAGTCTCAGACTAATTTCAGGTGGTGAGTTAACCCTCAAGAGTATGAAGTCATCCTCCTTTGACCTCCATCAGATATAAACACCCGGACAAAGATAAGACTTGGAGATGGTATAAAGTGTACTGGGAGCAATAAATATTACTTTTTAAAATTGTTTCTTTTTTATCTTTTACACAGTGGTATTTTGCCTGCACGTGTATCTGTGTGAAGGTGTCGTCCTAGAGCTCAAGTTTAAGATAGTTGTGAGCTGCCATGTTGGTGTTAAGAATTGAACCCAGGTCCTCTGGAAGAGCAACCAGTGCTCTTAACTGCTGAGCCATCTCTCCAGCCCCCACATTTTAAAATATATGACCATATTTTATGTGTGTGTTTTGTCTCCATGTATCTCTGCACCATGTGCTTGTGGAGGCCAGAAGAGGGTGTGAGATCCCCTGGAACTGGAGTTAGAAATGGTTTGAACACCATGTGTAGGTATATCTAATAAGTATTTATTGTAGACTGAGATATGGTTCAGTGATTAAGAGTATTCCGACTGCTCTTCCAGAGAACCCTGCTTCTATTTCCAGGACTCTGCAGTCAAAGATTTTCTTGGCAAGGCATTATTTTACCATTTTATTAAGTGCCTGTTTAAGGAGCAGTGAAATTCCACAATATGAATTTGCCCCCTTTGTCTTCATTCCTACAAGATTGACAGATGGAAACAGTGAGAAAATGGGCCATGTATATTTTGCAGTTACTTGCTGTCCTTGCCAGTGAACAAACAGACTGTTGTTTTAGGAGTTCTGTTATCTAGAGTGTTCTGATCTTTCCACACTTGCAAGTAGATCAATGTTAGGTTCTTTTATTCTGTAGTTTTGCAGACTTAAATCATGAATTCACAATGAGATTAAGCTATAATAACAGAAGCTCAAAGAAGGGACATGGAAGCCAGAACATTGTAGTAGAACTCAGAATTGGTACCATAGACTTTGAGGGCAGTTCTGGTACCTGTGACTTCTGCCACCAGTCATCCCATGTTTACAAAATGGTTATAATTCATGACACTGAGAATTACATGAAACTCCAGTAAACTCTCCTGTTTTGTTACTTAAATTATCACAGTTTTCCTCACATTTTTATGATTGCCTAAAGTCTAGGGGAAAGGGAAGACCGGCTAAGTGATTGTATTAAAAATAAATTGTAAGCTAACCTGCTGTGACCTATGTGGCTTAGGTCCTGGGACCCTGCCTAGGGTTGGTGAGGGAATAAAGAACAGACAGACATACAGTCACACACAATAGTGAAGCCAGGATCAGGGGGAATTCTCTAATGCTGCCTCTACTACTGGGTGTTCATTAGGTACAGCACAGGGGAAATGTTAGCTAGTCTCGAAGGAAGCTTCTGGAGACCAACAATCCCAGCTGTAAACATCCAGGAGGAGGAGGAAGCCTCAGTTGTTAGTCTTTGCACACACTGATTAGTCTTCCATAGACACTCGGACTCCAGGGAAAAGCTTTGCCAATTTTCCATGGGCCAATTAAGACCTTGTAGTCCTCAGCAGGCCGTACCCATACCAAAATACTCATTTAGAACTTTGCTCCCTCAGGCTTCCCCACCATTACACCGACTGTCTTAGGGTTCCTGTTGGTGTGATGAAATGCCACAACCAAAAGTAAAACGAGGAGGAAATGGCTTGTTTTGGTTATACTTGTATATCACCGTTCATCATCAAAGGAAGTCAGGGCAGGAACCTGGGGGCAGGAACTGTTGCTGAAGCCATGGAGGAGTGCTGTTTACTGGCTTACTCAGTCTGCTTTCTTGTAGAACCCAGGGTGACCACCTAGAATTGACTGAGCCCTTTCCCATCAATCACTAATTTAGAAAAATGCCCTTCAGGCCTGCCTAAAGTTGAATTTTATGGAGGCTTCGAGGTCCCCTCCCCTCAGAAGGCACTAGCTCTTGGTCGATTTGATGTAAGTCTAGCCAGAACACTAACCATAATACATCTTTCCCTTCCTGTTCTGTTGTTTGGTTGACCTTGTTACAGAAATAAACATTTTTAGGCTGAAAGAACGATCAAATTGAGTCTAGACCTTTAATTATTTTCATCTTGATGGCTTTACCATAAAAGCCCTCGGTGTGCTGGGCATGGTGGCCCATGTCCTTGATCATAACACTTGAGAAACAGAGACAAGAGGATCTCTGTCAATCTGAGGTCAGCCCAGTATACATAATGACACTATCTTAAAATAATGGGGGCTGGAGACATGGCTCAGTGTTAAGAGTCTTGACTGCTCTTGCAGAGGATTCCGTTTCAATTCTCAGTACTCACATGGTATCTTATAACCAGCTGTCAGTCCTAAGGGATCTGATGCCCTCTTCTGCCCTCTGAGGATACCAGGCACACAGACATGGATGGATGCAAAATGCCCATACTTCAAAGATGAGTGAAATTTAAAATTTAAAGCACCTTGGCTTGCAGTTGACATGTAAGGAAACAGATCAACTTACAAAAGACTTGATGTCCTGGTGCTTGGGCTAACAAATCTGCCTTTCCTTTGGTGAGTTGTTGATTGCTCACACCCACGACAACAGGCTTGATAAATGAGAAAATGCTAAAGGAAAATCAAATAGGGAAAGATAGGATGATGTATGCTGTTAATATAAATGCCTTTATAGCAGCTGAATTAAAATAACAGCAGTTCAGGTGTGGGCGGTTTGGTTTGGTTTTCCTAGCGCTAGGGACAGCATATAGGGCTTCCCACCCACCTTGCTGTGCTCGGCCATGGAGTGCTCTACCATCAAGTCATAAGCTCAGCCCTAGTGCTGGTGTGCATACAGGCTTTCCACGCCCTGCCTTGAGTTAATCTTGTATGTTTCTTCCTGATTTGTTTGTTTTTCTGAGATCTAAGCCCCATTTCTTCCTGCTTGGTTGCCTTTTCTTCTGTTTGCTTCCACGCCTGCATTGACTACTGAGATTCTGCTTTGCCCTTTGTTGTGTAGCAGTTTCCTCAAAGAATTGAAATATTCTGTGGTGGTTTGAATGAAAATGGGCCCCATAGACTCATAGAGAGTGACACTACTTGAAACGATTTAGGACAGGTGGCCTTGGTGGAGTAGATGTCACCTTGCTGGAGAAAGTGTGTCACTAGGGGTGCACTTTGGGGTTTCAGAAGCCCAAGCCAGTGTCTTTCTTCCTGCTGCCTGTCAATCTAGATTAGAACTCTCAGCTAACTCTCCAGCACCATGTCTGCCTATGAGTCGCCATGCTTCCTGCCATGACGTAATGTACTAAACCTCTGAAACTATAAGCAAGCCCCCAATTAAATGTTTTCCTTTGTAAGTCTCGCTGTGGCTGTGGTGTCTCTTCACAGCAATAAAACATTGGCTTAAGACACATTCCATCCTGATTATTAAGAGGGAAAGTAAGTAACTCAAGATAGCTAGAGGAAGTCCCTGAAACTATCAGATTCACTAGGTCTCTCCCTCTCCAAGAGTATGTGAACAGTAAAGACTTTTGAGAGTTACACTCAGACAAGCCAAGTTACAAAGAGGATTCTCAGATAAGCCTCCCTCACCTTCTGGAAGAAGCAGAGACCAGGAGACGTGCCTTGAACAAAGACCAGGTAAGCCACCAGGAAAGGACGCCCTCCAACTTGAGCTGCCTGCAGACTGTGTGGAGTTCCAGGTTCCCGGCTTTGATGAACTGTCATCTGTACTGTGGTGGGCTTTGGTGATGGAGCTCTCTACAAATCACTTCTGCTCCTCTAAGTAACCCCAATAAAACTTCTGGTTCACCAAGTCATATTTTGATGATACTCATATTTTGATCCATTATTGGCTCCCTATCTGGGGTAATAGGTTGTGTGTGGTGTGTGTGTTGTCTCCCCTGGGAAGTTTGTCACATAACACTCCTGGCAGTCCTTTGTGATGGGAGAAGGGGCTCAGTTGGCAGGAGTGCTTTCTCTGCAAGCATGAGGACCTGAGTTCAAGTCCCCAGCACCCATGTAAAAAGCCAGGCAAGAATGTATGTACCTAGAACCCCAGCACAGGATGGTAGAGACAGGCATGTCCCAGGTTGATGGTTGGTTGCCTGACCCAAATGAGCTTTGAGTTCAGTGAAAGACCCTACGTAGAGGAAGACACCTATTATTCTCTGGTTTCCACATATGTGCATGTGTTGCACATGCCTACACACAGCATGTGCCATACACACATTCACTAAACTACTGCATTTGTCCTTGATCCAACTTTCATCTTCTGTATATTCTATCAATTTCTAACTGCCTGCCTCAGCCTCTCAGTTGACTTCCATGAACCAGCTTCCTTGCCAAATGGCCATCTTTAGATTTAAGCTTTCCTGGGATTTGGCCCTGCATCTTCATCCTTCCATGTCTATCTGCATACTGTACTTTTACTTTTGACTCCATAAGCCATTGTTTCCTGTATTCCCAGAATGTCAATAAGTATATTCTTATTCCCATCCTACCCAGCCTTGGCCCATGTTCTCAAGTTCATTGCCATGGTTTTTAAATGATCCCAGTGGAGCTGGAGATAGTTCAGAGGTTAAGAGCTCTTGCAGCCTCTCCAGAGGACCAAGGTTCTGTTGCCATCACCCATACCAGGTGGCTCACGACTGCCTGTAACTCCAATTTAGGAGAACCAATGCCTTCCCCTGGCTTCCAAGGGCAGTGCACACATGATGCACATATACTCAGGCACACACATACATGTTAACAAATCTTTAAAATGACCCCAGTGGGTTTTTTTTTTAAGATACATGGAGAGTTAGTTCCTGAATTCATTTTTGAGTCTCATTGCTTTGCAATTGTTTGGCCCATATGATAGGTGAAAGTCACACTTTGGGTTTCTGAACCAACCCTTAAAAATAGCTGGGCCAATACCATCTTGTCCACCAGTGGGCCATCATGCAAGTGGGACTACCCTGTACATTTGTGGACGAATCAAAAGAGTATGACTTTGGTTTTGGGGTGGTTCATTATATAGCAGCAGATAAGTGATATGGTTCGCTCACCTCATTCCCGGCCCCAGCTAATTATTTTGCACCTCTGTACCCCTAATTGTAATGGTTTTACTTGTGTGCTTGCTTGTTTTTCCTCTTACCAGCAATTTTGAACCTGATGATCTCATGCATGATCAACAGGCTGGTAGAGTTAGAAGAACTAGCGGGGAGGCTGGGCAGTGGGTGGCGCACACTAATCCCAGCACATGTGAGGCAGAGGAGGCAGATCTCAGTGAGTCTGAGGCTAGCCTGGTCTACAAAATCGAGTTCCAGAACACCCAGGAGTGTTACACTAAGAAACTCTGTCTCAAAAAACCAATTATAATAATAATAAATTAATTAATTAATAATAAAATTAGTGGAAAAAGCACAGTTCTAGATTCAACAATCACAAAAAATTCCAGTGTTACAAAGTGGAAAGCCAAGATGAATTTTAAAGTAAATATGATAAAACAACACTGTAAGTGGTCAGCCCATAAGAACACCTGACACAAAATGACAAGATGAAGAAATGGTCCGGTAGTTAAGAACAATTGTTGCTCTTGCACATCAGGGACCCTGGTTCAGTTCCCGGTATCCACACATGGGTGTGAACCAGGCTCTAGGGGATCCAATGCCCACTTCTGACCTTGGAGGACAGCAGACTGCACACAGCACACATACAGACGTGCAGGCAAACTCATCAGTTTTTAGATAAGAAGCACGGTGCCTCAGACCTATAATCCTAGCAACAGATAGCCTGGTAACCAGCCTGGGTTACCAAGAGAGACCCTGTAATATCTCCAAAAATATGGGCAAGCCTATAACCCTAGCATTTGAGAGGTGGAGGCAGGAGGATCAAGAATTCAAAATCATCCTCCACTATCCTCCAAGCCAGCCAAAACTACATGAGACCTAGTATCTAAATAAGTAAACAAACGCCTAAATAAAAAATAAAGGAAGGGAGAGATGGTAGGAGGCAGGTGGAAGATGATGTCGAAACTGGAAGCAAAAACGAAGACTCCAACGCAGAAGTGCTTGTTTCGGCACTTGCCCGAAGAAGCTCATCTAATCGTTCAGGTCATCAGCTTGGTCAGCAATTCACAGCTCTTGAGGGACTAACAAGCCCCTCAAAGGGATTTCCCCTCCATTATCTCACGTGATCATCACAAACAAGAAAGGCCTTATTATTGTGCCCCCTGGAAACAGCCACCAAGAAGGCACATCACGAAGCTAATAAGCGTGGTTAAACTCCCTTCTGTGCATCTCCCAGCAACTGGGCCCTGGTCCTGATGTTGAGCTCCAAAGACGTGCACACCTGCGCCTGAGCAGAATGAGCCAGCCAATGAAGAACCCGCATCCAAGGAGGCGGGACAGAGGCGCTGCCAATGGCTGAGCCCTCCCTGAGACAGATGTAGCTAATGGAGACCTCGTACTGCAGAGGGACGGTTGCTCGACCAATGAAAGGCTGGGACCAACCAGGCAGCTAGGCCAGACGGCCAGTGGGGCGCCAGGGCGGGGCGCGCAGTCGAGCGCCAACCGCAAGCGGGGATCCGCAGCGTGCAGCCCGGTCACCACCCGCCATGGCCCGCGCTGTCCCGCTGCTCGCCATACTGGCCATGCTTCTCACCACCACTACTGCAGGCGGAGACGCCCCGCCCGGAAAAATCGGTGCGGGAAGGATGTGGTGGAGTGCTCGCTGAGGAGGACGGGCGGGAAGAGGGTTTGCAGCTGACCTGGGGCAGGGGAGGGCTGCTCCCGAGAGGAGCTGGGTGCAATGGCTAGGGGCTGGTGGGCGCGGAAGAAGCGTGCACAGGGGAGGTGCTGATGGGGAGGGTGGCGTGGGCATGAGGAGGGGGCCGCCTGGGAGGGAGAAGGCCCGGGCAAGAATAGCCACTGACAGCTGTCCGCAAGGTGCACGGTCACGGAATATTTACTTCTTGAGAAGCTCTCGGGTGACAGGAGCTGGGCGGTGGCCTTTGCAGGGGTCGGCTGAGCGCCCTGTGTGTTACAGCAGGCTATGACTGGTTCCTTCAGGACGCCAGGCCCTTGATTAGGATGAGAAAGTTCTGTGTCTGGAGGGCGTTTGGCAGGTTCTGCAGGCTCTAAGAAGGCTTCCTAGAAGTAACATCTAACGAGAACTTCCGGTCTGTAGAAGGTAGTTCTTTCCACGGGACAGAACAATAAATAGATTGCTGGGGGTGGATTTGCTGAGTCGGATGAGTGTGGAACTTTTTTCACCCTCAGGCTTGCTTAGACAAGCGTTCTACTGCACAGCTCCACAGCCCAGTATGGAGAACTCTTAATGGCAGTCATTTTTTTATTAACTATTATTTTTTGTGTGGTTCCCCAACATTTTATTCCGAAGTTCTTCAGACATACAGCAAAGTTGAAAGAATTTTACAATCTTACCCTTGTGCCCACCACGCATTCATTCTATTCTTTGCACTGTTCATATTTTGCTGCATTTCCAAATAAATTGCAGGCACCAGGATACCTCCCTTAATACACCATGTGTAGTTATTGGCACTGGTTGGTTTGTTCACAACTTTTTTTTTTCTGCCTTTTGTTTTAACTCTGCATGGCTCGAAGTTTCTCAAATCTCTTTGCACATGAATTCCCACAACCAGAAATGCTGAGTTCCAATTTGTGGGAGGACAGAGTAATAATTCCACTAGGCTGCCCCTGTGAGCCCCAATTGACAGGAGTGCCTTGGGACATCTGAGATGATGTGGATTTGCCAGGGCCAGTACCGTGTAAGAAAACTACAACAGGCCACAGAGGGTTAAGGCTGGCCAGAGCATACTGGAAATTGATTTGTGACTAAGAGTCTACACAAGAGAGAATCCTGGGGGCTACGGTATTAAGAGAAGGCCTAATGGAGGTTGACTTCGGAGCAAGCTTGGAAGGATAATGAGTTAGGCAGGTTTAGGAACCAAAGATGTGCAGTAGTTTTTCCCGGGGATGGGCAGCAAGGACTCACCGCAACAGAACCAAATGGCAGTTCCGTAGCTTACAACCTGCCTCCTTCCAGCTTGTCCCCAGACATACCTCACCCATCTTCCCGATCGATGACAAGCTGCCCTTTAGCTTCTTAAACACCTTCAACCCCCTTGGTGGTTTGGGCTGTACCTAAAGAGGAGGACAGGGTGCCTCCCATTAAAGGTCATAGTCCTTAGGCTCCAGCAGGATCCTGTCTCCATGCTTCTGAGTGGTCCTAGGACCCTTTAGAATCCCCCTCGGTGCCCTTCTTTCTCCTCTTGCTGACATGCAGATTTTCTCTAGGGTCCTGCTCAGATGCTTTCTCTTTGCAAAGCCTGTATCTGTTGCTGCCTTCTCATGATCCCTAAAAGCCTATGTCCTACTTGGTTATGGATCGTTTTAGCTGATTGTGCATGAGTCTCACTGCCCATCGACTGCTTAGGTTCCTGGAAACCCAACCCCCTCTTGGTTCATCTCTGAGCCTTGGCACATCTTATAGGACAAAGAGCAGTATCTGTTAGGTATGTTCCATAAACCTGCTCACAGTGATAGGACATCTTACTTATAACCGGGGGGAGTGGGGGTTGAACATAGCACTTCCAGCCCTTGACATGTCTGTTTCTTTGGAGAAAATAGGTAATTTGGGACTTTCTCCAGAGGAAGAGGAGGGAAAGAGAGCAGAGTGGATAAGAAGAAAATGAAGGGTATTCCTGGAAGTGACTTTTAAGTACTGAGAAAAAGGAGTTGGTTAGTTCACCGTGCAATAGATGTTTCTGGACTTTATTATCGGCCAGGGTCTGGGGACAGCATAACCCTGCTTCCTCTGTGTCCTCAAGCCATTTGAATATGGTGTGGCAAAGGCAGGGGGAGCTGCTGGAACATGTATGGGGGACACGGCCTCTCCTTAGAAGGTGGCAAACTGGGCTAACTGTAGCACCTGGGGACTGGGGAAGTCTTTATCTTCTCGCCTGGCTGGAGGGGAATCCTGGACTGTCAGTGGAAGGAAAGTCGTGTTTCAGATGTTGGGCACACAGAACTGCCGGCAAGGCAATAGCCCAGCCCAAGGGTTTCATAACTGGTTCATTCTCCCTCGGGACTGTTTGTTGACTACTGTCTGTCTAGACAGTGGTTCCCAGCAGCACCAGGTGGTAGGTTGGACTTTGACCAAAAGGCCTGTAAAGGGCCAACAAGTAAATATTTTGGGTATTCCAGGCCATTTCACAGTAGTTTCCTACTGACAGTACGTGAAAGAAAGGGTGTGGCTTTGTTGGCAGCTGTCAGCAGCACCAGGAGGCTGAAAGGAAGAATCACTTGAGCCTAGGAGTTCAAGACTAGCCTAAGCAGTATGGTGAGACACTATCTTAAAAGACAAAAGAAAGCCTGCTGGGCAAGAGGCAGAGACAGGAAGATCTCTATGAGTTCAAGGCCAGCCTGGTTACTTAGGGAGGTCTTGTCTTTAAAAAAAAAAAAAATTCTTTTTTTTGTTTATTTGTTTTTTGGGGTTTTTGTTGTTGTTGTTGTTGTTTTTCAAGACAGGGTTTCTTTGAAGCTTTGAAGTCTGTCCTGGAACTAGCTCTTGTAGACCAGGCTGGCCTCAAACTCACAGAGATCCACCTGCCTCTGCCTCCCGAGTGCTGGGTTTAAAGGCGTGCGATTTTGGCCTGTGGGCTGTAGCTTGTTGATCCTGAGTTAAGAAATGTTTTTTCAGCCCACTAACAGAAGTGCTTGGTCAGTAACTGTTTTCACCGATTAATCCTGAATTTATAAGAATCTAAATTTATTCTCTATTTTCTTTAACATTGACTGACGTATAGAGAGGGGCAGCATGCATGCCATGACTCGTGAAGATGGGGACAACTTGCAGGAATTGGTTCTCTCATTCCAGGTTCTAGGGATCAAATTCGGGTCAACAGGCTGCAAACCTTTACGTGAGCCATCTACTGGCCCAATTTATATTTCTTTCTCTCCTCGCCACCCCCCTTTCTCTGTTTAGTTTGGTTTTTGAGACAGGGTTTCTCTGTATATCCCTGGCTGTCCCGGAACTCTCTATATACACCAGACTGGCCTAGAACTCAGAGATCTGCTCGACTCTGCCTCCTGAGAACTGGGATTAAAGGTGTGAACCACCACCGCCCTGCTCAGTTTATTCTTTTTTAAGAGCATTCTCTAAATTTTGAGACTCTTTCCTTCTCTCTTGCCGGTGGGGTCTTCCTTGGATGAGGATGGCAGTAGGTGCAGTCGGAGGACCAGTCTTTGATTGTTCCGTTTAGAGCATCTGAAAACTCGGGCTGTGGATTCCCCCTTTGAAATTCCTTAAGCCTGCTAGGTGCATGTGCCAGGAGTGTCCGCTGTGCACAGGGTAGTGCCTTACTAACCAGCCTCTCTCCTGTTGTGCCGTCTCTCCCTCCCTGCCTTGTTCGGGCTTGCCGACAGCTGTTATTGGAGCTGGGATTGGGGGCTCTGCCGTGGCCCATTTCCTTCAGCAACACTTTGGACCCCGAGTACAAATTGTCGTCTATGAGAAAGGAGCTGTGGGGGGCCGCCTGGCCACCATCTCCGTCAACAAGCAGAACTACGAGAGCGGAGCAGCCTCCTTCCACTCATTGAGCCTCCACATGCAGGACTTCATCAAGCTGCTGGGTGAGTGTCCGGCATTGGGGTCTAGTGCTCGGTGCCTCAGGCCCTTCCCAGACTCCCCCAGGTCCCTTGCAGTCATGTAGTCATTTAGCTCCATCTCCTCATTTTACAGATGGAGCAGCTGAGACCAGAGAGGGGAAAGAACTTGCCTGAGGTACACAGTGAGTTAGTTGCAGAGCCGGGATTAGAACTCAGGTTTGACTCCCAGGCCAGTCTCTCCCTTTCAGTGTACTGCCTCTTAGTTATTGTCATCATATCAGCATCCACATCCTACATCCTTTATCTACATTGCCCACCAGATACTTGATACTCTAGCAAGTGGTATGGGGACATGACCTCAAACCCAGCCAGCCTTTAGGATGAGAGTCGATCTCCCTCTAAAGAGACTGGAACTCAAATCCTTAATACCCTTCAGCTGAGATGCTAAAGTGATGAAGTTGGGGCTCAAAGTCAGCATCCTCTAAACTCCAAATACGCATGCTGTCTGCTGAAGAAGTTCCAGTCCTCTGAAGTTGTCCTGCAGGATCGCGTCTTGTAGATACACAAAGTGCATACATGCAGGCTCATTTGTCACGGCAGGGTTTGCCAGAGCAGGATTTTGAAATGTCCTCCCTGCCCACCCTCTCTGTACTTGGGGTGAAACACAAAGCCATGTAAGTACATAGGAGACTGTTCAGGATGCAGGATGTTGTATGTGTTGTGTCGGGGTGGAAGAGACTAAATCATGGCCACATACATGTTCATGAGTGGAGTGTTCTTTGGAGTGTAGAATGCTGAGAAGCTAGAAGGAGCTAATGTGAGTTCAGGGATCCATAGCAAAGCCAGCCCTGCCCTGTGAGCCTTTAGACATTCTGGAATGGTAGCATTTCCCTCACTCTTGGCTGAGCAGGTCCCTGTTGAAGAAAGTACAAAATGGCACATGGTTTTCACTTTCTTACTCACTAGGAAGAGCAAATGGTTTTCTCGGTGTATTCATTAGCATGCTACTTATAGACAGGAAGCACAAAGGAACAAAATAGTTCCAGTCCTTTGCATCAGGAAGATCCCAATGCAAAAGCTCAAGGCACTGTTGGGCCTCCTGAGGGCCATGAAGGGGAGCTGAGGGGCTGCTGGTCTCCGCAGGGCTGAGACAGCGGCGTGAGGTGGTGGGCAGGAGCGCCATCTTCGGCGGGGAGCATTTCGTGCTGGAGGAAACCGACTGGTACCTGCTGAACCTCTTCCGCCTCTGGTGGCACTACGGCATCAGCTTCCTGAGGCTGCAGATGTGGGTGGAGGAAGTCATGGAGAAGTTCATGAGGTAGGGCTGGGCGGAGCTGCAGAGCAATGCTAGGAGGCCAGGGAAGCTCTCAGGAGGGAACTGATGGATTGGAAATTGTGCAAGAGTGGTGAAGGCAGACGCAAGGACCCTGCACAACTCAGTGCAGGCTCAGGGAAGCCCCAGCCTGAGGAGTGTGTGGGACAGGGCCCCTGGCTTTGCGACACTACTCCTCGTTCCTTCCTCTCACCAAACCACCGAAGCATGAGTTGCAAACTCAGTCACTTACAAAGGCTAAAGTGGGGTGAGCAAGGCCCCTGGGTGGAAGAGAACAGCGGGGTGGGGTAGCCCGAAGAGTAAGACCCTCTGAGGGAGGCAGCCAGAAGCAGACAACTGACTAGCCACAAGGAAACATGTCATGAAATTTTCCAGCTTTTCAGTGTTTATCACCAATTGACTTTGTGAACCAAATGAAACATTTATGCAGGCCAGATGCAGCCTGGGGTCACCTATTTGCAAGATTTCTGCCCCTACTTTGTCCCTCTAGAATGGTAATTCTCAAGCCGGGTGGTCGTGCCTCACGCCTTTAATCCCAGCACTCAGGAGGCAGAGGCAGCTGAATTTCTGTGAGTTCCAGGCCACACTGGTCTATAAGAGCTAGGTCCAGGACAGGCTCCAAAGCTACAGAGAAACCCTGTCTCGAAAAAAATAGAATGGTGATTCTCAGCCTCTCTAATGCTGTGACCCTTTCAGTTCTTCATGCTGTGGTGACCCCCAACCATAAAGTTATTTTGTTGCTATTTCATAACTGTAATTTTGGTACTGTTATGAATTGTAAATATTTGATTTGCAGCCTCTGTGAAAGGGTCATCCTACCTCACAGGTTGAGAACCGCAGCTCTAGAATATTCTCTTTTCTCCTCTTTCCTCTTGAGTGCCAGCCCCTCCCTGTCACCTCCAGATACAGAGGACTCGTGTTCTGCTCCTGCTCTGTACTGACAATGCCGAGCAGCCACTCCTCTTCTGTATCCCCCTGCCCCCTCCTGCTTCCTGGAACCCTGAGCAGAAGTTGTCTGCCCCTCTAGCCCCATCACAGACTCCCCCTAAGTGTCAAATGTCCAGGTGTGGTCACATGACACCCTTCTCTACTTTCTTCCGCTCTCCGCTCCCTTCCCATTCTATGATCAGGCCATACAAGGTGATGCTTCTTCCTTACATTCTCCAGATGTCCCTCAATGTCTCCTCCATACTTCCCTTTCCTCTTCTTCCTCCTCCTCCTCTTTTTCTTTTTCTCCTCTCCCTCCTCCTCCTTCTTCCCCTTCCTCCTTCTTCTTTCTTCTCCTCC